CGGACAAGCAAATCACCTCGTTTTTCGCCCACTTTCGAAGAAAAAAGGCAGATTTGTCTGATCACTCCTTCTCCGCAAACGCCTATTCCAGCTCGCCATAGCGAGGGCCAGAGAAGGCATTCGGGGTTAAATTGGAGAAAGATCCCATCGCTACTTGTATCTTTCACTTTGATATCCGGAATCATTTATATAAAAAACCCTGCCTTTCTATCTATCACTATCAGAAGTTTGAGTCTTCGAAGAGAGGACTTATTGCCATGGAGATGGAGTAGCGATCGAAAGACTAAATCCACTTCCCTCAAGTGCTTTCTTTCGGGGATGGATGAAAGGCTCTACCTATATAAATTTTGCCAATTGGGGATTTTCCTATACTCCATGAATAGATGTTTGGTCTCGAGCAGTAGAGAAGAACGGCACTACCTAGTGGTAGAAACAAAGAGCAAATCAAAGTCATCTTGTTCACAGCGGATATGCTTCTTTACCACTGCCTTTCCCCTTTCACGAAAGATAGATAAAAATCGACTATCACTAATACACAGAATCGAATCCATATGGTTTCTATTCTGCAGACTAGAAAAGAAGGGTACTTGCTCGAGCCAAGCCATAAGTAAGAGATTAGATTCATTTATGTAAGTGATTTCGGGTGACGGTTCGGTGAACCCTGCTTCCATACAATAGAGTCGAAGGATAGCTGTATAGCGTCTTTGACTTTCACTTCGCTTCGTTCGATGCAATTGACCTTTGGCATGAGCAAGCTTAGTCAAGTAGGGCGTTAGCGGCAAGTTTGACTTTTTTTTGAAAGCCAGTAGAAGTACTTCATACCTCACTTCTTAGGAGAGCAGGTAAGAGATTGAAAGCACCTCTTGATAGAAGAAGGCGCTACCATAGTCATTTTTTCCCAACATTTAGCCTAGGAAAGCAAACAAAGAAACTGAACAAAAATGGAATTTGGATAAAAGCAAGACAAAGCAAAGAGGAAGGTTTGAAATATCAATCTTCAAGGAGTATTTGCCAATCAATTGAATCTTTGGTCTGGCCTGTGCTTTTCAATAATGAATGGAAGATTACTACTCTATACTAGAACGGAGGATCTCTTTTCATTCTTTCTGGAGCACAGGAAATGCCAGAGATCAGAGCCCGGCCCATACCAGTACGAAGGATCCTTTTAGACACTAAGCGCGAGACGAACCATAACATGATACGCGTAGAAGGGTCCGTCAGTAGAATAAGGAAGAATATATTGCTGGCTTTTTCCTTATTCTTGATCTTAGAATCAGACGAGATGGAGCGGATGGAGAGGAATCACCTAGCCTAGCATTAGACTCGACTAGCTAGCCTTCTTTGATAGGGCGGATTTCCTCAAGAAGATCTTTGAGAACTTCCACCTGCTTGCTGAGAGTAGGCTCTCTTTTTCTTCAAGGTGACAGGATTCGAACCTATGGCTCTCTATACCAATCAAAACCAGTTTTTTTTGAATCTTGGGCCCCCAAAGAAAACCCTATCTCGCAAGCTCGTTCGCTGCATTGGACCGCAGTTCGGAAAACCGACAAAGCTTCTTCTTGAAGTCATAGAAGCTTCGCTTCGCTTCGTTCGTTAGGTCAATTACATCGAGCCTCGGGGAACAACGTAGGAAGGAATAGGTGGGCTTGCAAAAGAGAGGCGCCAGGATCAGACGAGAGAGAGAGATATGAGATTAGCTCCCATTGGGGACGGGACCCGCAGGAGATAGCTTTGATCGAGGAGTTGGGCTTTTCTTCGCCGATGAATCGATTCTATCGCTCTGTCCGGTGCGATCTCGATCTAATGAAGGTGGAAGAGCTGAGGGGTCAGACTCGTTTACTACATAAGTATTCCATTGAATCAGAGTTCTTTTCCTCTCATATCCGCCTCAATGGAAGTGGGATAGGGCCCGAATGGGGGGCGTAGAAAAATAGATCTGATGAGCCTCTGAATCAAAAGAAAGAGTCATTCGGGTTGCCGTGGATCTCGGATCAAGGGTAAATGGCTCTTTCTGATTCAAAAAAATTAAGGCGGATTAAAACCATATTACGTCAAGTCAACTACTTGTTCGCAGCGGAGCTGAATCCCCCGGTCTTCTTCCCCCTTAGAAGGTCAATTACATCGAACCTTATACGGTTCGAGATCGAGAAAAAGGGCCTACACATTCGACTAATACGAGATTCAAAAGGCGATTCTCTTATGACTTCAACTCGCAATTGGATTGGCCCGCGGAAAGCAACTCGTCGTGAGCGACCGCTCGTTCGCTTCGAGTGTGGTTAACTCTGGAATTTCAAACACTTACTGAGCAAGGCAGAAACTAAGGCACAAGCTTTTTTATGCTGGCTGGCGTCAATCCGCATTTAGCTGACTTCTCTCTAACCGGACAATCTGATTGAAATCCGTGGAATGCCCTTTTGTAGACCCCAGGCCAGGCTGGAGCAAAACCCCGGAAGAGTCCGAACACCCTATCAATATCTTGAATCAAGGGTGGAGTCTGTTTGGTACCTAAACGCACATAGTTACCTGCAGTCGGTTGTGTTACACCGGCAGAATAATACAATTCAAGTGTACCATCTTCTTTCTCATTTCGAGGAAAAGGTGCATAAGAGTGGCAAACGATTGCCCGACCTCCCCAAGCGAGTGAGTGAAAGGCGTGGAAGAACGAAGCGAAGCGAAGTGAAGAAGGTTCAAAGGCGCGAGAGGATCCATGTAATTGAGAAACCTAGGAATCTCCGGAAGCGAAGTGAAGTCATAAAAAAGAAAGATCTCGCTGAAATTGCCTGACTGTGTTCGAGAACACCGAAAGCAAATGGGTGAGATATCCATTAGCCGATCCTAGCTGATTGTCCGAGGTGCACAGAGTGACGGAGCGTCGTTTATGACTGCAATCCCGGGTAGTGTCCTTGTCGCGAAACATTCTTCGTCAGGGTCGATGTCCTTTCCGCGTCAGCAATGCCGTCTATTCCAAAAACAAAAGCCCCTTTTATCTGGTTCGTGTCTTCCTAGCCCAACAAAGGGCTACTTCAAGAAGAAGAATAGGATTCTCGTCTCGCCTCTCGCCAGTTAACTTACTCGGGTGCTTAGTCGACTTTGGCTTGCTGTACCATCTAATGATGGACCACTATGATCATAGAAGGATAAAAGAAAGGAGTAGGAAAAAAATCGATATGAACGGAAGATGCCTCTAGACCTTCTTTTTCTTGGTCAGGAGAGGGAAGTGAGTCTCGACGTCAAGGAGAGGAGAGGGAAGATGCAATTGAGTCGACTGAAAGGAGAGGGAAGAACCACAAACTTACGACACAAAACTATACGGAGACCTTGCGAATGACCTAGAATAGAATCAGCGATGTAAACGATTGAGGGTAAATTCTTCTTCTTGGAGTGAGTTTAGTTCCTCGTGTCGGTCTCTCATGAGGATGTCACAGCAGTTTCTTCTTGAGTTGACTTGGCTGTCTCCTATTCGATTGTTGGAAATTTTAGAAGCCTTTCCTTTTTCGGTCGCATTAAGGGTAAACGCTTTTCTTATTGCCTGATATGAGGACTAAGTTGAAAGGCAGTGAGCGTGGATGTCGCAATTTAATCAAGAGTTAAGGATACCCAAGAGCACAGAATAGGAGATGGGGCATAGCTTCTATGCAGGCTCGATGAATTTCTTTACAAGATTCCGATAAAGAAAGAAGATCGATCCTATGAAAAGAGTCCGATTCCATATTAACCAACCTTGATACTAAGGCACAAGCTTTTTTATGCACTAAGGGTAGACTCCGTTCAGTTGGAGCGAGGGGTTATGGACGTAGTGAAGGGTGGTAGTAGATCACCAGTCTAAGACTTTAAGCCTTAGTGCCTTTATCCAGGTATCCCTCCTTTTTTTAGGGTAAGAGCATAGTTTACTTTTCGAAAGGCTTCCAGGAGCGATAGCAATAGCAATACAATACCGAGGTTCACACTTTTTTTTTAGAGAGGGTCTATGTTATAACTCCAGCTGTATTAGAAGTTGCAGTGAATGTAGCTTCAAGCATTCCATCTGAAGTCAATGAAATAGTAGTTTCTTAAGTAGTCAATGAAAGTACTGAAATAGTTTCAAACTACTGAAAATTCTATCTTGATAGTTACTGGACCTTATGAAGCAATCGAATCTTTAAGACCGATCTCCTCCTAACACTACCCAGTGGAGTGCTTCTCTGTCTGTGCCCTTTCCACGCTTACTACTTTACCTACCCCACTGACCGTCGGCTATTTGAAGTTATTGAAGGAGATGGCAAAGCGCTGGAAAAAGAAGCTCTTCTTCCTATTGAAGACTCGGAACGAAGGCCTTATTAAATGAATCTGTCATGGACTTAGACTTGGCAGAGTCCGATCTGGTTCTCGACGACGAGCCGGAAATCACTTTCTCGGACGCTACTCAGCAATGCAGAAAAAAAAGAGAGCCTTTTTCCTTTCTTTCTGGTGATCTAGCAGGCGAGAGGAAGAAAGAATGCCCCGAATCCTAGTAAAGGCAAGATCCTACCCCTAAAACCCTCAGGAAGATCGGCCTCACACAGGCCACAGTTGCGAGACAGAAATTTCATGATGAAAGACTTTCCTCAAGGAGAAAAACGTACTCTATCTTGACCTGGACTTATATAGATTATATATCCAAATCCAAGGCTTTATGACGAAAGTCGTCTGTTACGTTATCAACGTCCCTACCTCTGAAAGCTGAAGAAAGGCGCGCAACCAGAGTTCCCCTTCCTTAGCGGGTTAAAGAGGTGCTACCTAGCCCACACCTACTTAGAAATGAACCCTGTCGGTCGACTACGGCTGTGATTCCCTTCGGCTTGGACTCCGCTTTGACATCCGAAAGCACCAACCTACTTTCGAAACAAAAAGAGGAGGTCAATTACATCGAGCCACAGTAGGAACAATAAGAATGTAGAATACGGGTATTTGAGTGACTAAGGTGGTCTAGAGAATAGGGCTCAATTGCATAAGCGTAAGGGTTCCGGGCATAGTGCCTTATGGCAGGGCGCAGGTCGCTCATCTTTCATCTCCGACATAGGTCGATCTCCTACCTCATTCATCCTTAGCTTCGTCCCTTTCATCACCCAAGGGTCGATGTAATTGAGAAATGCCCGGCTCGCTTGATTGAACTTCCCTTTCTTGGAAGCGGTTCTTTTAATAAGTTGTTTTTCAACTGTACTGACTTAGACCACAATGAGTCTATGGCTTTAAGCCTATATCTACTCCTCTGCAGTTACCGGCTGCTATCAGGAAACAGGTAGAAAGACGGAAAGACTTTAAGGCGGGGGAGCGGATGATAAGAACTTCCCCCGAAAATGAGCAGGGACTTGCAACTGCAACATCCGTAGCTTCTAAAATCAAGCCTTTCACTTATAGGGAAGGTTTGCATCATTCCTACTTGATAGATCACCACTTTCTTCATTTCGCTTTGTTTGGTTATTGGAATTTGGTGGTAATTTCTTATTCCTATGGAAATAGAGGGTAGTCGTAGATCAATCCTTTGAACTATGAGATAGTTCATACTATGCGGGTACTCTTTGAGACTAAAAGTAGGATATTAGCCGATATTGTTATCACCGATGACCTACGGATAGGGCATGAGTAGCTTTCGAAGCATGCGTGGTTCTGCAATGAGCTAGATCATCTTATCCAAGAAATTCTTCATGGCCCTTTTCTTAGATAAGTCCTTGCCGCCCTTAAGAACTAGTTCTTAAGCCCTAGATTCAGTATCTGGTATGAGATGAGTGTATGGTGATACACATTTCCAAAGAGAGAATGAAGGACTGAAAGAAGTGTTTGGAGGCTAAGGAGCTGCTACAATAGCATTAGCGCTTCCAGGCACGCTTGCCTATCACTTCTGCTTCCTTCATCCTGATGAGCTACCCGAAGGGGCATTCCTTTCTTGCTAGCACAGGAAAGAGAACTCATTTTATGCCCCTTGTGAATATGGCTACTTTACTAGGCTATTCTTCGCATCGAAGAAAGGTTGGACGTTGTATAAAAAAGGGCACTCTCTCAATTACACCTTCCCTAATTTGACTTCACTTCGCTTTGCTTCGTTCTTTGAGTCTCACTTTGCTCTCCTCGATTCGATTGTTTTCCAAGAATGTTGAGCCGGGTATGTAAGCCATGTATCTGGGAGGAACGAACGAAGCGGAGCGAAGTGAAGCCATGGATGATCAAAGAAGGGCTCCATTTGAAAATATTATAAAATAGTTAGTTGAATCTTTTAGAAGAAAGAAACTATATATGTCCAATCTCTAGTGATGGTGGGACCAACCAAGATGTATGTCGTCCAACCCGACCGTTCACTCTTTCTTCCCGACCTATTTGACTCTCTGGCCGCAGTTATTTAGGTGGTATTCCGAGATTGAAGAGATCTCTTTCCTCTCCTTTCAGTCGAGACCTCGTACCCACCAACCCAAAAAACCTCTATGACTGAACTTCGCTTCGAAAAGTTTGTTCCCCCACGGAGCGGTGACTGAACTTCGTTCGATTACATTGACCTTTGGTCGACTCAAGTCGACCCAACTTTAGAAGGGAAGCGAAGTGAAGTCAAATTAGGGAACACAGGAAAGAAAGGTATGAACTGGGTAAATAGAAATGGAAAAGAGATGTTTCCAATTCATCAAAATGTGAAGCTTTTTCTACATTCATATGATCTGCTAAAGTGGATCGGTATTGACCATATAATAAAAGAAGATCTTGGTCCATGGAGTCCCAAGAAGGTAAGAACTCCAACCTGTCTGATGCTTCTTCGGCCAAATACAATATACAAGTGGGACCTGCACTATGAGCAAGCTGTGCGAAAAACCGCTTCTTTTTTCCGGTTCCGAAAGAACTTGGGCGAAATAGGGTTCTACCGGGAAAGCATGGATTTTTGAGTTTTCGCCATTGGTTACTGGTTGAGCCACTGGAATGGAATGAGATAAGAATCTCTGTAGATCTTTCTTCTCCACTTACTCGTAACAGGCTTTTCTTCTGTAGAATACTTCTGTAGAATGGCATAATTGTCCAACCTTCCTCTCCTTTCTCAATTACATCGACCCAACGAACGAAGCGAAGCGAAGTTCAGTCAACTTCGTCGAGACCTCGTCAATTACATCGACCCTCGATCTTCAAAGAAAACTGACTCCTCCTGGCACTTTTAGGATATGCTCGTCGTTGGTCCTTAGGTCACTAATGATCTCACCATTTGATAGTAGGGACGTTTCTATTGCTTGCCCTTTTGCTTTTCACTCTCCTTTGGTCTCTCTCTTCTATAAAGCGAAGCAAAGCGCATGGAAAAAAGTGAAGAAAGCTCAATAAACACACAGGAAGACGACCCTAAAGAATGATGATTCTGTTGATGATGAGAGAAGACCAAGCGCGAAGGGTTGTGAGGGCTTGGCTGTCCACTTCACAAGTGGCTAGGCAAGAAGCAACAGGGTTCCTTCCATGACTCTCGCTTTCTACCTTGGTAGAGTTGTGGCAAAGACTGGTTCCTGTTGAAACACTTGGCATGACATATCAAAAAAGTTTGTCTCGTTTCCATTTGAGCAGATCAGAGCTGATGACACAGTGGATGAGCAGTAGGTTTGCCGGTTCAAGATCCGGAGTGAAGCTCAAGCCCTAAGACTGGACTTATTGGGGGACGATGAAGCTTATCCAGAAGACAAGGATAGCCAGCCTGTCCTTTTAAGCTTCAGCCCGATGCATTCCCCAGATAAATCTCCTCTGGCCCCTGCAAAGAACGCATTTTCTCAGCCACAGAGAAGAAAAGCCTTGAAATTCATTCTCCAGCTTCCACATCAACCGATCCAAAGTCTTTTCTAGTGGAAGAAGTCCTTTGCCATCTTGTGGAATTTCAAGTTAGCCGTCCTGGCGCTTTGCTAATCTTTCTTCTTCAATCGATTCATAAGAACTTTCCTCGCTCTCCAAGAGATTCAAAGCGGGTATCCAAGAATTCCAGTCTTTCCTCTAAATTACATCGAGCCTCAGCTCCAGCTTAAGCCTTTTCTTTTTTTTATTCGGATATCAGCAGTTTCTGTCCTAAGGCGGCAAATGGCTAAAATAGCCTTTGCCTTATTTTGAAAGAAAGGAGGGCAAAGGTAAAATGAAACTTTTCTATTGAAAGCGAGTGAAGTGTAGAAGAATATCCGCAGGGCTAAACCCGAAGCAAGCCTGAAAACCTGAGGTATGAAACTTTGCTTTCCCAGAGGGAAAGAAAGGTGAAGAACTTTCCCTTCGCTCCAGGCGCTAGAGACCCCGATCGGTCAGTTGCCCGTTTACTTACCCTTTGTTTGAGGAATAGGAGGAGAATCCACTGGCTCTTTCCTTTCGTCCCGGTCGTTCTGGGGGCAGTTGGAGAGGGCCTTGGCTTACCCAGTTTAGGAGAGGTTCTCTAGGAAAGGAATTCAAAGTCAAATGGTTTCGAGTCTCCGAACAGCCCGACCCACAAGGAATCGGGAGAAGACTCCGTCGACTCTTTCTAGAAGATTTTAATAAGCTCAGGCGGATTCGGAGGAGGGCATGGCTCATTCACTTATTGGGTCAGCATTTGAACTCGTTGGCTAAGCCCTTGAAGCCCTTTCTTTCATGGATGGCCGAATTTTTACTAATTCGGAAAGGTGTCGATAATTGAGTGCTCTTATTGCTGCGAGTCCCAATCTTCTTGAAAAACGTGATTACCAGATTCTGATTGGCCGAATATCTTATCCCGGATTCTCTTTATGGAAGCATCAATCTTTCTTTATGACTGAACTTCGCTTCGAAAAGTTTTTAGAGTCTCACTTCCCTCTCCTTGACCCTCCTTTTTTTCTATTTTATATCCCATTGTCTGACCGTGCTAGTTTACCCCCACTTTCATGCTGCGCTTATTCTGCCTCTATCATCTACGTAAATTTCTTCAACAATAGATTCCTTCACTTCTCGCCCGAGAGAAAAGAAAGTAGGCCAAGCCGCTAGCCCAAAAGAAAAGATCAGTTCTGACAGGCAGACTCCACTGAAAATGCGATGGCGCCGGATCGGATATGGATGGGCTCGGTCCTACACTCGACGTCAGGAGGACCAGCTTCACTATTTTTCCGGCCGGATGGAAGACTTACCCAAGATGGATGCAACTTTGCTTCTCGGCTCGCTCCAAGCCTTCTCATTCCATTGTCGCTTCTTTTTTCGGAGCGGCCCCTACCCAGCTCGAGCCAGAGCTTTTGAGTTTTCCAACTAAGTTCCAGTTCGCCAGCCACTANAACGGATTGAGCAACTAGCGCGAAAGCCGTTGCGCTAACGCGCATCCGTTTTCTTGCTGCTTCGAAAAGTTTGTTGGGTTCCAAACCTTGCCTCAACCCTCTCTTAGGGCTAAAGCAAACCTCCCTCCCTCTCGTACCGGTGATCTAGTAGAGGTGACCCATACCATTTCTACTTCTCAAAAAAAGAATACCAAGACAGCTATTCAAACGCTTAACACATGCAATTCGAATTATATTCATTAAGGAGTCCAAGCGACAGCTAGATTCGTTTTTTGACCTGAAAGCAAAGTAAGGCCACCGGAGGAACTGAAAGTGACGAGATATCATCAATGGAGGAGTGCAGGCATTACTTTACAATGAAAGATGGGTTTTCTACTTTCGTTTGAGTGGCTAGGAAAAGGCCTTCAAGACGAAGGAAAACTCAATGAAGAACAAATGAATAGCTATCTACCGTGCACAAGGGATAGTAGATCGTAGACTCTTTACCTCATGGTTGTCTTTCGTTGTGCTAGCCCTCATCAGGGAACCATAGTGTAGACCTCGAGAGGCNGGAAGGTTCATCAACTCTTTTTCCAAAAAAACTCTTCATCTAATTTCCTATTTGAGTTTAGCAGACTCGTTCACATTTAGCTACCATTCATTGCCAACCCAACCAATCGATGTGGAAGACTTCGCGGAATAACAACTCTTAGTCTTCTTACGTTCCTGTTGATGAGGACGCAAGCACATCCCTTTCTTAGCCGCAGGATCAGCAACTCCCGACCGATTCCCTGCAACAAGCACTTCGCTGCAATCCGTCATATCACTAGGCTTAACTCGGACTCTTTTCTTTATGGGGAATCTTGCTTAAGGAGCGGACAAAGGGAAAGCTAAGCTAGTCTTCTTACCGATCCGTAGCTTTGGTGAGCGAGAAGCAGCCAGGTATAGGAGAAGGAGCGGTCGGGGTGGGGCAAAAGCACTCATAGAACTACTTTTTGAAGAGCTAATTTGTGCACGGTTGGGTTTCAGTATCCCAAACAAAACGTACTATATGATGTTTTTGATCCCATATTGTTCATCCGTTTACGTAGAGGCAAAAAGTGTCTTTCCAGAAGCAGAAATGGGAAAGATTTATCAAAGCAATCTGGACTAGCTCAAAAAGGTGTAATTCCATCTTGGTTCGGTTCCTCCACTAGCTGAAGCGGATTGGTCAAAAATTTGATAGCCTGGCTCGATATAATTGACCAAACATGAGCCGAAAATCTTCTTTCTACGCTCATCAGTCGAGAAAGTTTTCATTGTCCGGCTAGCCCTAGATCTTAATCTTTTGACTTGGTAGGGACAATGCCCTTTGAGGTAAAGTGAGAGGATGAAACTTCAGAACACCTGGATCAAGTCCAAGTAAATGAGCCCTCTTTAGGAGGTAGTATATACTTCTGGACCCATTGGTAAAGGAAGACTCCCTAGCTCGATTAGAGAAAAGCTCTCTTTTGTGTGCCCGCTCAAAGCGCCTTTCTCAATTACATCGACCCTGTGAATCAGGGAAGTTTATCTGCAAAGGTTATTCCACCTAGGAAAAGTCAATCCAAAAGGAAAATACATGACTGAAGCCAAGAAGTCTAAGCTGGATCCAGCAAGAGTATCCGAGGACTTAGTAAGAAAGCAAGTGAAATAGCTAGGTCATTCAAAGGAGCAGCCGAAAAAGCCCTTTATAGGGCAATGCCTCGGGTAGGACAACCAGAATCAAGAGAGAACCTTTCAATAGACTCCGAAAGAAAGAGCATCGGCTTGGTGGGCTCAGAAAAATATGGTCGGCAGATCTGCCTCATAAAGAGTAGTAATGTTCCGGGGTCTCGTCCTAAGATGAGATTTCCCCCTCTTCCACTTGATGTGGATTACCGAGAGAAATTCTATTAGCAGAAAAGAATCGGCTATTGAGTAGGCACTCGTAGCAGCAAGATAGGTTGTCTTTGCTCTGTCCCTGAGTCATGTCCTAAGAGAATGATATACTGACCTATTCATAGCCTTAGCGGTAGCTTCATCGACTACCAAAAGGCCGGAGCAGGATCCGAAGCGGTGGGTCGCCAAACTACGACGAGAGTTTCGCCTTTTGAAGGGCCAGTAGAGGGAAGCCTTAAGCCTACAACGAGAAAGAGGGGTTAGCGTGGGCAACCTTACCTGTCGATGGAAAGAGGAAAGGAGCCGATTATCCGTACAGAAACCTCTTACTCTTCATCCAGATGCCAGTCACTCTTAAGGGAGTGTAAAGGGCTCCAGGGAAAAGATCGATGTAGAACAGAAGCTATACAGCAGAGAAGAATGAGTTGGAGATAGACCATCCTTAGCATTTCTTCTTTTCGACCTGAGGGAAGTGCGGTCAAGATTCAACTCAAAGCTTTATGACTGAACTTCGCTTCGCCAATACTTCTGACTTCACTTTGCTTCGCTTCGTTCGTTGGGTCGGAAAGCGAAAGGGCAGAGGGATCAGAGCCTAAAGGCCACTTCCTGATATAGGAGAATTCCAGATAGTGTAGTTATGTCGAGCGACAGAAGGGAGTCTTCAGACTGAAGATAAGAATAGTATTGCTAAGATGAATGCCGCTTGAACGAGTTTAAGAGGTGAAAGAGTTCAATCAAACTCTTCCTTTTCAGGTCGGGTTAAAGAAGGGTCTCATCGGGGTATTCACCTAGCTCCCTAGCTTCCTATATTCCACTCGAGCGGGATTAAAGGAGATGAGTTATTCTCGTAGCTAAATGCCCAAGTCGGGCAGGGATAGAGGAACGAAGAGACTTCCTTTGTACTGAGATAACGGATGTGGACTTTCACTCTGAAGGGCCTTTCCTAGGACATTTAACTATTTCCGGATCGTGTATACTCACTGTGAGTTGCCTGCACCTTCTTCTATCTCATGTTCATTGGATTTCTTCTTCTTTCTTGGAGCGTAGGACCCCCTCGGTCGTTACTTGACTTAGCTCAAGAAATGCCCAAAGACTGGTTGGTTGCAAGTGAGTACTCAGAGATGTGAGGCATGTTCCGGACATCTCCCATGCCGTGATCAAAGAATAAGGAAGGAGGCTATATTGAAGAAAACTCTCAAAACCATTTCCTAGGGAAATGTTCTCTATCTCTGCATTTAGGTTAGCGCAATCATTTTCATTGAACTTTGTGATATTTTCAACTAGTTGGAAGGTAAATTGAATCGAACCTCTTCTTCCTAATCCCAGGTTCTCATTCTATTTCTTCCTATGGGAAGGCACAATGGATTCATACGCTCCAAAGCCTGACAGATGACCAAAAGCAAGCAACCTTGCTCCTGGTCCTATCGAACCAGTCACTTTATATTATACCCGGTGGAAGGTGTAGATGAAAGAAATACAGTCATAAGCGCTTCAAGTCTTTTTTTATTTAAAACGAAGGGTTTATTAAAAAAGAGGTTTTGCTAGAATTCTCTATAACCGTATCCGGTGTTTCCGAAGAGAATAAGCTCTTTTGTTTTGTGAGAGTTCAGAAGAAAGATTTTCTAACTGTGAAATGATCCAACGAACGAAGCGCAGTGAAGTCAAAGACTGTAAGAAAGGTAACTGCTTTCGTAGCAGCTCAACCAGTAGCCGGTGTAAGCAATTGAATCATCATAAGAGTTAGCAAGGCTAGGGCTCTCATCCCTCCCCTTGGGTAGCCTATCCGTTGGAAAAATCTGAGCTGTGAACGTAGGAACTATTGGCAATAAGCGTTGGTAGAGTTCGAGAACTTAATAGTCTTTTCTCGGGATGGGGGATCTGAGGCTTTCTAGCCCGTATTTTTGAAAAAAGATGGAGGGCTATTAACATAGCGCCTCCTTATTGAGAAAAATTCGAATTAAATAGAGTCCCAATCGTGATGTATCCTTAATCACGTCAGGTCGAGATGAGTACGATCAGAAGTAAATAAGATAGAAGGAGGAGGAGGGTGATCCTATTTGTATGCGCATTCACACGACAGGTATGTTCCAAGATCCCCCGAAACGAGAACCTAACACATGGTTTATTGATCGTAAACTGATTAAAAAAATGGATTATAGGTTAGTTGAATATTTCGTTTTGCTTAGGCTACGTGTTCCGTTCACGCGCAACTAAGCCGCACACAGGATCTTAGGTTTCGTCCCCTTTCGGGAACACCTTCTTATTAGTACTTTCTTACTAGTATTGGCTAAGCCTGATGAAAATATACCTCATTACAAGAGATCTCCCCCCGGGTCTTCGAAAAGACAAATCCCAAGTGCAGTTCTTAACTTTTAAAGGAAAGAAAAGACAGAGGCAGCGAGGGGAAGATGAACAATGTAGCTATAGCTACTCTCCCTTCCTTCGAAGCTGTTAAGCCCACTCCGCCAGTTATGAGTGTATCATACTTTAGTTCTGATTCGTGCTGATCTTACAATCACCGACTCGAAGTTGCGTTTCGTGGCAGTGTGAAAGCGTCAATTACATCGAGCCTGTTGGACTTATCAACGAACGTTCATGTTATCATTCCATGGTTGCTGTCATAGCCAGCCCTACTACTAACCAAACTCCGTCTTACCTAAGCAACTATGTGCTTTAGTGACCGGAGAAGGAAGCTTTTAATTGTCGGATTGATGATGTGCACCCAAATGAAACTACTTCCACTTGAGAAAGCAAGAAGACGACTTGAATTATGTGGACCACGTTCACAATAACGCACCAAGAGCAGAGCTAGCACGCACCAAGCAAGAGGTAGCACGCAGTCACCTTGTTGGTTTGGTACTCGCTGTCACTTGGTATCGGATCTTTCCTAAATGAATCATTTTCCCTTCGACGGGAACTCCTACTACTTATAGTTAATCTACCTACGTAATTCTTTCTTTAATTAAGATAATTTACCACGCTAGTAGAGCTCCTAGTCCGACAAGACTAGCAAACATGCAAGCCTTAACCATGCAACTACAGAAAGTCCCAGTGGTAAGACTCAGATTAGAACCGCCTTCTCTTGTGCACCCTACGGTTTACACCTTCTAGCACGGTAGGCAGCTAGTCCTCTCTGTGTCAACGCTAAGTTCAAGTTTTAGCAAAGCCTATGCCCTTTCTACTTTAGAAAAATAAGAAGGTTCGCATCTGAACCAAGGTCTGAAACCAGAGAGTCAACCGGAGCCGTAGAATCTGCTGAGAGAGAATCGGATGTAAGATGCTAGATAATATCCTTTCCCGAACCGAAGGAAGACGAACTTAGGTACGAGACAAAATAAAAAGAGTTAATCTTTTTGGTTAACCCGATAGGTCTGCCTCTGCCCTTTCATTAGAGGTCAATTATATCGAGCCTGCAGTAAGATAATACTAACAAGCCCTCGTTGGACTTTCTGAGCCATGCAGCGAGGAGACCTATATGTGAAAGAAAAGAGAACTCGATGGAAGGCTTGGTTACTTGCGAGGAAAGACAAGAACACTAAAGACCTTACTTAAGGATGTTCGGGTTCGGATATAATTTGCTCTCTATGGTGAGCGGTACTTTTACCCACACTCTGCTAAGACCTTTGAGAACTTGCCCAAAGACCTCTTATCACTTGCCCGAGTATAAGGGGGGTACTTTTCTTTATTTGAAATAGAAAAATAATGCTATTTTTAAGATGTTCACCCTTGCTTGTTAAGAGAGATTAAATACAGGTTTGACTCCATCTGGTGGTGGGGGGAAAGCATTCATTTACCACTTTCACTATTATAATTAGTAATTGGGACGATTCTATCTGATAAATTGCCTATACTCTCATACAACCTTGAAAACTATATCATCCTCTCTTAGCCCCTTTCTTTACGCAAGAAGGAGGGAAAAGAAGCTGCTTTACTTTATCCCAACGAACGAAGCGAAGTGAAGTCAAAGAGCGGGAAACAACCATATATATTATATGTTCACCCTTACGGATAAGAATTAGCTGGTAAACTAGAAGACAACTTCTCTGGCCTCGGTAATATCTATAGAAGGAGAAGGCTAATAGCTGCTCTGCTGCTGCTAGGGCTGTCGGTAAAGTAGTCGAGTCTCTATCAGTCTACCCCCTACGTCTCCCGAAAGGGGCCCTAGGTCATGCCCTTGAGATAGGGATTGAGGGCGTTGCCCCGACCAAACTGAAAACAGAAGGTCACACAGGCGTAGATGGGGACCAAAGGAATGAGTCTCTTCTGTGCTTTCGGACTGAACCAAGATGGACCCCCCTAGCCAAGCGAGTTGTTCCGCTTTCCGTCTTTCCTAAAAGCACATGTTATCCCACTCGTGACTCTAGCGAGAAAGGCCCCTCAAGTGGTTGAGGAGGGTTTCTAGGTCTTCTGCAAGCTGATGTTGTTGAAGGTCAAGAAGACCCAACAAACGAAGCGAAGCGAAGTGAAGTCATAAGTATTGGCCTAATCCGATTGCCCGTTCGAGGTCCGAAAAAGCCCTCCCAACTCCTAGGTCTAATAGCTAATAGCTCTTTTGTCAGCTCTTTCGTACCGGTTTTTTGTTTCGCTATAGAATTCCCCGGTAACCATGCTTTGGGGCTCAAACTCAATTCCTCACTCAAATGGCACTTCCACTTCGGCTACTTTAGCCAAAAAAATGGATTTCACTCATAAACGCCTCAACTTCGTCGACCCTCACTCTCTTTCTGACACAGGGCTGAGCGCTCTAGAAGCGAACAACTTACCCTCGCAGGGTTGATGAACCTGCCTTTTTGGCTTGTTGTGAAAGACCGATGAGCATATGGAACTGCAGTTCATACTCTATTTCTGGAATGTGAAAGAAAAAAGAAAGAAATTGCTCTCACACGAGCAGCGCGTAGGTTATGTCCAGATCTCAGTCTATCTTGTTGTAGCAATAAATAAGGAATGGAACTGGCCTCTATCATGAAAGCTTTGCAGCAATGTCAAATAGGCATTTCCACACCACCGATGCTGCAGTTGTCGAAGCCCCTCTTTCAGTTCTTTCAGTGGTATAAAGAAGATCAATCAACTCAGATGTCACCTCGTCCTAACTAAGATGCCACCTTAGACCCACTGGATCGACTTCTTGACCTGGAAAAGAAGGACTATCAATCACATCGGTCTACCAACTAACTCTATCAGGAGCGTCAGGCAGGCCTAGCCTAGATCTTAGGGAATTTCCTTTTCAAAATGCTAGCTTGGCGAAGATCGAGCTTGGGGTCACCTTCTTCTCTTACTCGCAGGTAGGTAGGTGTGCAATTCATTATTAGACTTTCACTCTGATCTCATCTCGTGATCTGGCAAGCAGTTCCATTCTATTTTACGCTATCACTAAGCTAATGTGAAACCCCTGGACTTGGCATGTGAGGAGAAAGAAAGAAAGCCTAGAGAGATAAGCGAGGGTAGGCTTTTCTTTACTATAGATAGAGCGAGAAGGCGAACTCGCAGACTAGCTTTTCGAAAGCGTGGAAGGCCGACCGACACACACCTTCGGGTGCTGCTGCCACACGGGCCTATACTAAGATATTGGGCCAGTTTCCCACGAGTGGAAAAGCTGCCATCCACAAAGTGGCTGGCTTGAGAGTGAATGGTGACCGCTGTTAAACGTGAACTAGAAAGGTCAATTACATCGAACCTATTGGGATTTGTCCCAACACTAGCACTTTGGTCTCCTACTTATCTTTGGGAGGAGGATTGTAGCTGCTAATGAACAGCCCTCTAATCTAATAAGCTCGTGACGCCTGGAGGAAGCTTTGGCATTTTTCCCAGTAGTGAAAAGAAAGCCTTCATCCAGCCGCTGGCTTTAGGCTTGACATGGTGACTACTGCTTAGATCAGAGGGTGCTCGTAGATCAGATACTGCTAGCTTGCCGAGAAAGGCTTGACGTCAAGGGCTTCCTTCTTTGTCCAGCACCATAGGCGGGCACTAGCGCACTAGACCGGTAAGAAAAGAGAAAGGATTCTCTCTCTACTACGGCACTTGCTTGACCCTCTTTCGGGCTCACCAATAAGAACGAAAACTCTTCTTCTCGTCCAGCCGGATGACAGCCAGTCAAGACTGATTTTTCAATGCTCGTCCTCTCCCATCCCAGTCCTATTCTTTGGGATAGTTTTTTTCCCTCGGGATTAAGGTAGGCCAGGGGACGAAGGAGGTGAGACGTGAGTCGAAGAGGGCGAAGGAGGTGAGACTAAGAGGAGAGGGCCTTTACTGATCAAATGGCCGGTGTAAATGACCGCTTTAACTAATAGGGGAAGCGAACCGAACTAGCTATCCAGTACGAGCCAATGAGCGAACGAGTAAAGCAGCTAGTCCCAAGAAGTGTGTTCAATCGGTATCTAAGCTCTTTCTTCTTCTGCTTTGATGGATCAATTGGTAGTAGAGCGAATCGAAGCGCGCAGTCACTCCCTAAGGAATACCAAGGAAGGTCAATTATATAGAGCCTTTCTGCTCCTAAGTGAACAAGATCGGAGAATCGTCTGTAGGCGAATCGACTCCTTTCCCATTCCTATAACACAGCAGCCTTGAAGCTGGAAGTTTGATCCTTGGTGATGCGGAATCCCTAGTCAGAAGGAGAGCGATTTCGCTTACGACGATCAAGCCTTATCTTCATTCCTGACCTGAGTATTCCCACCATTTGACCTATGACTATGGCACCCTTAAACATCTCCTGATTGACTGGCCCGGTGTCTGGTGACTGACTGCTCTTTTTTCTCTATGGGGGTGTCCACGTTTTCTTGTCCTGATATTAATGCTCTTGACGGAGGGTTTCTCCTAGGGCGGTATCAATAGTCGAGAAGCCTTACCTAAAAGCCGAAAAAGTCGTCCGGGGTCCGAAATAGAAGGACAGGAGATCTGCCTGCCACCGATAGGCCTTTAGCGGGGGATCGAATCCGGATAATGAAGGGGGGACTCTCTCCGGGATGGATTTTCTCGCTTGCTTTATTAGCCCATATATAATGATTTTCTTTGTTGACTGAGGCCTATGGAAAGAAAGTGAAACCGCGAGCCAGTCGAGAAGGGCATAATGCTCTAATAGGAATTCCAACTCGTATTCCTCTGGCCAGCCATGCTGCTCAAGGTAGGTGCGAACCCTTTCCTCCACTTCGGAAACGGAAGGGAGAGAGGGCTCAGCTTGCTCGTTCCCGGCAATAAGAAGCTGGATGGAATGAAGCTCTTCCGACATGGGAAAAGATTCATTGATCTCAGGAGAGCAAAGTGAGACTAGACGTCAAGGTTTTCAGATGCTCGACGCGTAAAGGAGAGGTCAATGTAATCTTTAGAAGCGAAGCGAAGTTCAGTCTCTGGAAAGGAAGGTGTAATTGACCTCAAGGCAAAGAGTCCGTTCATGGTATAATAAGTGTCCTATTCTTTCAAAGCCAATCCTAAGACAAGAAAGGTAGGAAACTAGCAGTCAGGAACCAAGAAAAGCTGTAGCAAGGCAAAGTAAGCATTCCGGTCTCTCTTGACTCGTAGGATGCCTTACCCATGACTTCCCATTGAAGCGATCAGGAGAAGCACAGCTAAGCAGCTTGGGTTTGAGTTCTAATGGAGCTAGACGTGTAACTAAAAAGAAAATCTCTTCTTTCTGCCCGGAGAGAAGAGAGAGATTCAAGAGAATCTGAGGTCAATTATATCGAGCCTTTGTGGACGCTACGGGAGAAGGCATAGGCTGGCGTAAGAGACTAGACTAGAGAAGCTACATAAGGAGTTATGTAGGAAGATTTTTTGCACTTTCAATTCATCTTTCGATTCGGTCAACTGTAACGAGAGGAAAGGAGTTGTTTTTCAGCCTAAGCTGCTGTGGTTCTTGCTAGCTCTTACACAGGGTCGGCTATACTGCATTTATCCCTAGCGACTGGCATCGAGCACAGTAGCAAGGTCAAAGCTATCCGCTAGTAGTTAAGCAGGATATGAACTCAGTTCAGGAAAAGAGAGAGGGCAGGGGGAGTGAGGCTATCGTACCAGATGGGCGATCATCTTCTTATGAAGTTATGGAGGGGTATCAAGCAGATCTTTATTAAGCAGTGGTTCCAACTCTATGAAATAGATGATCGGAGATAGGTCCGGCAATCGAAGAGACAAGCAATCATAGCAGGCACGAAGCACCGGGTGGAGAACTTCTTTCGTCGAAAGTGCCAGAGGGGGACCAAGGCTAGATGATCGTGTCATTCTCTATACGCCTGAAAACCCGTCGTATTCTATCTCTTTCTTTTTGCCTTCCTTCTCTCTGGCGACAGACGTCAAAGGAGGTCATACATTGTTATGCAAGCTGGTACGTTTGCCAATTGTGCGACCAGGTCATAATAATACAAAGGCTAGTAAAATAAACTACTAAAGCTTACAAAGCAGGTCTTTCGTAAGGGGTTGCGAATCAGCAGGTTTTGGGCGAGTCGGGTTAGAATCGGTAGCTGTGAAACTAGCTCTGGCTTTACTTTTAGCTTTTTCGTGGGGCAGGGGCATAGAAGGAGTTGATCCTGGTCGAGGATCGATGTAATTGAGAATTCATACCTGGGAAAAGGAAAGGAACTTTCAACAGGCATGGTACGAGAGGACCAGCCTTACCTTAGGCCTCTTCAGCTAATAGATGTGTTAATGCGAATGATGGCGACGAGCTGTAGTAACCAAGAGGTTTACCAGTGTGAAAAGTCAAACTTGATCCCATCCGATTAGGTGAAGCTCCCTTGTACGAAAGCTGGAACCTCACCCAACTTAGGGACCAGGTCATCCATGCGGCCGCAAAATCATAGCCGAAGATCGCACCCCCTTGATAACGTGGTACGACCGGCAGGCGGTTTCCGCCTTTCAAATCAAAAGAGTAGTAGGTAGGGATGAATGACAATGGTCTCAATTACATTGAACCTTTTCTAATCAGTGAAAGAATCGTAATTAAGCAATCATGTATCGGACGCACCATCCCTTTGAAGTAAAGGGCGAAAAGATGCGGATTTTACCCAACGAACGAAGCGAAGCGAAGTGAAGTATACGAATTCTTAGAAGCCCAACAAAGTGAGACTTAGTAGCATAAAGAAAGATAGATGGATTTTCTGCATGAGAAATACTAGCCCATCTTTACCTGTGGGCTAATGTCAAATTGCTCAAGTGGAGTTGGTATGAGCGGTTCCGCTGGGCTTAGGCTTCGGCTGGACCAAGAGGTAAGTCAAAAGCAAGTGTCTAAATCTTTCGCTTATTGACTTGACCATTTCTATTGCTTTCAATTAGAAGCGGTTACTATTCTCCGCGAGAGCAGATGGTGGGGTGCTTACGCGTCGCCGTCTGCTTCTCCCTCGGATCATTCCTTCATTTCATCGGAGGGAGATTAAGAAATGAAATGGAAGAAGGGATTGTCCAAGATTTTCAATGTGTCTGGATCGTAATCGAACTGAGTTAGATCGAAAGATCAAAACTTTAGCCGGGTTGTCTTTATCGTCCAGTGGGAATCTAGATATCGAATCCTTCCTTGATTGGATCAATGAGGTTGAAGAAGATATGATGATGGATGAAAAAGAAGTTTGACTTCTCGCGCATACCGGGCGGAGCTTTTTCTCTCTATGGTGGGAAGGGAAGTCCTAGAGTTTAAGCGGATATGCTAGACCGGAGGTACGACTAGCTATTGTTAAGCACGAGGGTTAAACCATACATGATGGATTATTTCCAGTGTTTAAGCGGATAGAGTGGAAAGAAGGCTAGAGTTAATGCCTACCTTTCAATAAGACTACAGTTTACCTTTCCTAATCCTAAAGCAAGAAGGTATAGAGTCGATCTGATCTAGCTTTGACGCTTGTCAATGGATTTGCTTACATGATGGTGATGCTAATGGAAGACTTTTTTTAGGAGTTAGATGCTGATCCAGTGAAGAAAAGCTTGTGCAAGCATCCGATTTTCCTTTAAACAGTATAGTCTCCGCTTTCCCTACCAGGATAGGCTAGACCTTCTTCTGACTGGTAGTTCCGGGCTTCCTATTTGAGTTCTATCGGGCAAAGCCTTCCAACAACGAAAGGATCCGGCATAGCTTCTTGAAGCGACCTTTCTTTCAATTTCAAGCCAGCAGAGAGGGAGAAAAGTGTTCAAGATCGACTGCTAAAAGGTGCGCATTGAATGGCGTACCTTAACTGGAGGACATTCATATTCAATTGTTACCTCTCCCTTCCGAAGGAACTCTTTGACTTCACTTCGCTTCGAAAAGTTTGTTGGGCGAAGCTTTGGGGAAAGTTTCTTTTGGGTCTGGAAGTAGCTGGTGGCCACGTTGTCCGTCTTGATTGTGAAGTGCGCTCCTAGCAAGTAGTGGCGCCACACTCTCAAGCAATGGACAATGGCGGTCATCTCCTTTTCTTGCACCGTATAGCGCCGCTCTCTATCGTTCAGCTTTCGGCTTTCGAAGAGGGTGCCGGTCTTGCATTAACACTCCCCCAATAGCAAAGTCGGAGGCATCGGTGTGTATCTCGAACGGCTTCGAGAAATCAGGCAATGCAAGAACTGGCTCTTGGCTTACCGCGCCCTTTCGCTCCTTTCCTTCACTTCGCTTCGCTTCGTTCTTATGGTCGAGCTACCTGACGGCACCCTAGCTCGGGATAAACGAGAACTGCCGGCGAATCAGAATTGCCCCCGTAACCATGAATAAAGCGAATTGGTAACCTTCCTTTTTCGACATAATTCTAAATGAGTTATTCTAAGAAAGCGAACAATTGTACGACCAAAGCACCCAGCCATAACTAGGCGTGAAAGCTGCCAAGCAGAGAGAAGGAGGCCTAGGGTGGGGTCGATTAAAGGCAATTCGTCCACACTTTGTGTTGTTACAGGGTAAAAATGCCATTTAGGCTGTGCTTCTATGCTGCTTGGCGAGAAGTGAGGTTGGTTGATGGCCGCGCTCGGTCTTGCTGGAAAGTGAAGGCGGGTTCACTCGACTTCCTACCTAGAGGAATCCCCTACTAAGAGCATAATGGACGAAGTTAACTAAACAGATTCCTTCTAATTAATGTCAAAAATCTTCCATCGATCGGTGAAGCACATCAACGGAAGTGTGCACGCTAGCGCTCTCCTCCAAGCTGCTCTTACGGTAGTAGTCTTGGAAGCAAAGGTAATATGGATATCTATGATTCGAGTATCTTCCCACGGGCTAGAACCGGTGGGGAGATAAACTTCCTTCCTGGACTGGAGAGATGGAAGACATTCATAACGCAGTAAAAGCCTTCCCGGACTACTACAAAGAAAAAGGTCCCGGTTTTGCTAAGGAGGCCGCAATGGGTGCAACCGACCAAGCAAAGTCCTTTCCCAGTACAATCAACGACAGCATTTCGAGGTGGAATAGAATAACTATTCATGTAGGGAAATCCCAAACCCCCGAGTTTCTACCAAAGGAAACCGACCTCCATATTCTTCGTGGAAAAAAAAACGAATTATGCAACACAAAAAACAACTGATTGAGATGATGATAATCCGCTTCGTTCTCTCTGCCGAGCCTCTTTCTCTGATCGTGGGAGAGGAGAGAGTGCTTCTACCCTCGTCTGATCACGGGGACGAAGACGAACCTTCCTTCTGTCTTGCTGATGGTCGAGGTCAATTACACCTTTCCTTCACTTCGCTTCTAAAGTTGGATCGATTACATTGATTTCGCCAAATGCTATTCTATCTTAACTATACGTGGAATACTCGCTTTTATTAGACTGGAGGTTCAATCGGTCTATCAAACCTGGACTCTCCTCTGAATTCCATACTACGGCTTCAACTAGTCCTTTCAACTGGGTTCCAAACCTCCTCTTATTTCTTCTATCTGTCCTACTTCACCTACTTGCCACCCTTCGTCCAATGCCTTCATCGAGCAAAGGAAGGCAATGATAAAAAAAGTGTTNAGAGTTGTTAATGGCGGGCTACGGTTTACCCTCTCCCGATATCGCTACTAAGTGTATGGATGCCCTAGATTACAAAGATATACGAGGGGTCTCGGTAATATAATATCAGCAGTTTGCCTCACCCTCTCTTTGAGATTGGCTATGGGGTGCGTCTATTTAGTAGAGGGCCTTGTGTACGAGTGCCGGATAGTCAAGCCTAACTACGAAGAATTTCCGGAATTACATCAATAGCCTTGATCTTCACACACAATAGGCCTTTAGCGCAGGGGTATGCTAAAAGGGATGGGTCTTAGACCTGTGCGCCTTGCCACTTGCATTTGACTAGGACGCCCTACGCGGTAGTGTGCGACGCGGAATCCGAAGTTCGAAGTTAGAAAGGCCGATACGACCTGAAGGGGGTTGGAAAGTGGACTCAGTATGCCTCTCATGAGATGCTTGATAGAGAGCTAAAAAAGAGAAGATGGACTAAATGGGCTCAATAATTCCATTCCGGATTGGATCGTGGATTCCGACTTCTATCTCGGGCCTGCCCTCTTGCTTCATACATGCGGGCTTCCATGAATAGCATAAATCCCATGCGTCGTATTCCCATGTCTCAATTACATCGACCCTTTGTATTGAAAATCCAATCTTCCATACCTACCTTGATCGTGCTACCTCGTCTTCTAACATGAAGTCTTCCTTTGATCTATTCATGTACATTTACGGGAGTACATTCCCATCATTCCCGTCTCAGGGTCAAACAAAAGGAGGCCCCTCTCATCCGTATTAGACCATGAAGTCTGCCGCGGCTCTATCCATATCCACGTACGGATACATTCCTTCAGATAAGAAGGAACATTGCGTCATAGAAGCAGGAATAGACTAGAGGAACACCCTTAGCAGCATTGGAGGAAAAAGAAAGAGTTCCGACCAATCTTTTGCCTTATTTCGAAATCTCGTATCGTAAGAGAATCAAAAGAATGTTATGCCCAAAAAGTCCCATCTTTCTCCCACGTCTTTCTTCTTGGAAAAACCAACCTTTGCCTAAAAGTCTTCCTTCATTGGGAGAGCAAGTCTCTTCCTTTTTCCTTTTATGAGGCTTTACCAGTGTAGCTAACACAGCCTCTAAGAGCTGATTCAATAGCTATAGCTGCGGATTCTGTAACAGCTGCAGATTCGTCGAGAACATCTGCCCGTGGGTATCTTTCCTCCCTATGGTCGCCTTGCTTATCTCGTATATTGACTAGAGGCATATTCGATTGCGGTTCCTTCTTGCGGGCATATTAGTAAATCAGGTTAATCCCGAACAGCCTATTCGATAGCTGCCTAAGAGAGCATTCGTGCAAAGAGAACTGTGCATTCTCGAACAAGGGATTCGTCGAAAAGACTAGGTGAATATCCTGACTTCTCGTTTTCCGCTGTCTTTGACTTCGGAGCTGGTGTATCTGTGACCAGGTTCGATGTAATTGACCTCAACGGTTTGGTAATCGGCTAATCTAGTTGCTTAGACCTTCCGCTCGCCGATGGTTTAAGAGTTGCGTTGGCGTGACGCTAATCGTATATACGGATATTCTAGTGCTTGAGTTAAACTCAATTACATCGACCCTTTGGCCCAGTTGTTGGATAATATATATATATTATTTGCTGTCGGATTTCCCGATGTTTTTTTTAGCAGCTAAACTGATTGCCCTGAAGAAAGTAACTTCACTTCAAGCTTTCGAGCCCTATTCCCCAATGCACTTGGAGTGTTAAGCATATCATCATTACAGTTCGCTGTAAGCCTATCCAATTGCGCAAGCCCTTCAAGTTCCAATATCGGTATTACCTTATCCCATTTCATTGGTTGTTTAAAGGAAAGCGCATCCAGCTAGTGCCATTCCTTCTGCCTGGGAGATCTAACGATAAGAGAGAGATAGATTTCTTGCTGTCCTTGGCTGGTAACACTTTCCTATGACCATTCCCAGTCCCCCTTTTGCCATTTCAGTTGGCAAAGGCTAGCCATAAGCAGTTACTCTTTTTCAAGCCATCTGACAAGGGAAATTCAGCAGAAAAGGTAACAACAAATCCTCTCCAACCCTTCGGAACCCTCATCCTCCAATCTTCTTTCTGGGCTGTATCATTCGAAAAAACTGTCAATCACCTCCAGGAGAGCAAAGCGAGACTCGACCATAGTACGAGGGAAGGTTACATTGACCTTTTTAATGGCTGGCTCGTCTCTGAGCATGCATCCAAGGGCTAAAATCAGCACCCGTCGGGAGAGCTGGCACTAACTAATAAAGAAAGGATGGTAAGGTTGGTTGGCCAGGAAGACAAGAACTGGTATTGAAAGATACCAGAAAGACGGAAAGAAATCCCAATAAGGAAAGCCATTAGCCAGCAGGCAAGTAAGCGAGAGCGAGTAGTATGAACTAACTGGAACTAGAGCTATTCAAAGCATCGAGCAGTACAGGAAGCATCTAAACATGAAGGGGAATAAGCAGCGAGAATGCCGCATCTAAGAGCCTATTCATGTGCAGCCTACTCTGATTAAGGAGAATCCGGTGCAGTGCTTGAGAAACTTTCGATGTCCGCCCTCTTGTACTGATGTGCTTCTAGCTGGAAGCAGCCAATTCAATCCCATTAAATAAAGGATATTTAAACCTTAGGGCAGATCTTCCTCTCAAACCAAACGCCTAGCGCTTTCCTCAAACTCTTCTTGCTAACAGAAGAAGCTTTCCTCGTAGGCCTTCGAGTTGAAACCACCTTTCGCTCGGTAGAGAACACTAAAAAAATCTAAGCGATTTCCTTTAGCAGACCAGTAATTCAATCTTCTTTCTCTTTCACATTCCTCGTAGGCGCTATGATAATTGCCCTCTTGCTCGAACTTCACACTCACCCAATCTCTACTTGAAGACCGATCGCTTTAGCTACCTTACGGTACCCTCTCTCGTGTTGGTCTCGTTACTTCGTGTAACCTCTCCTTGCTCTAACAAGCTATTTCATACCCGATCCTTACAGTCTACCTTCGTATCCTTGCTTTATCAAACCAGCTGCTATACGGATCCTGTCGGAACTTTTCCATGCAACGAATGCTTTCCTGGCGAGTAGGATTTGTTCTCAACCCGGCGTAAGGTAATCAGCTTAAGGATCGATTCAATCTCCGCTTTCCTCGAACGATGGTTGACCCTAACGCTTTTCCTGAAGCAAGGTGTAAAGGCGGCGAGATTGACGGTTGAATAAAAAAGTCAAGTAGGACAGCGGTGACCGCGAATGGCTATAGTTCGTCACTCGCGGTATAAAAATCAGTCAAAAGCTTTCCTAAGCTAAAGCGCTTTCTAGTTTGAGAGATGGAAATGCCTAATCAAGTAGCCAAGAATCATCGATTTCGGAGGGAAAGAACCCAGCTCCAGGGAAAATGCATTTTTGAAGGATCCGATCCCAAGTGACATTGAATCAGTTGGTGTTGGAGGAGTGAATGCCAGTCGAAAGGCGCATCTATGACTTCATACCGAATTTGCCATAGTAAGGGCTCGATCCCAGACCTGGGGCGAGAAATGCTTTTGATTGAACGAAGCCCAACATTTACGCGATCAACTATGGATTGATCCTCCACTATTCAACCCACTGCTCTTTCTTCTATCATCTTGGTTTCCGAAGAAAAGTTCTTGTACTTCTGAACTTAACTTCCTTCTCAAGGAAGATGCACTTTGTAGTATGAGAAGAGTACATCTGGAAACACTCTGTGACTTGTTCTTTCAAAGAAGAAAGGCGCTCTTGGCTTGATTGTGATGGAAAGGCCGAAAGAAGTACTGCAATGGAGTTCTCCAGAGTGTCAAGCTGTGGTGGGCTAAGAGTGCTCAACTACAAAGTCAGATATTGGCTAACAAGGGCCTGTGAAGCTTTGATGGCATCAGGATGCAGTTTGTTCACAAGAATGGAGCTGGAAGAGGATCCTCCATCCATGAAAGAAAGGTCTAATCCAGCAAAAGGACTGAAAATGGAGGTGATCTCAGCAAGCTTAGCCGTCTTGGATACCGAATCCTACAAGAAAATTACACAGGTTGTAATTCAAAAAAAAGTGAAAAAGAGGACTTTGTACAGTAAAGTTTCCTGGCGCTTACTCTTTCTTCTATGACTGAACTTCGCTTCGAAAAGTTTGTAGGCTAATTTCTTTTAAAAGACACCTCTTGTTAGCCGGTAAGCCCAAACCTTCCAAAAGCTTGAAAAGAACCCTTTTTTTGGAGAATTTCCTACGTATGAATTGCCCCGATCCATCACCAGAGTCAATTCGTAGACAAAATTTCTTTTCTAAAAGGTGTCGCTTCAGACACCCCCTTCCCTTAATGAAAAGCCCCCATTCGAGTAGTCTTATAGCATAGGTCTGACCAGAGGCTCGGTTCCAACTATTCTTTCTAAGGACAACTTCGCTCCTAGCGAAAGATCAAAGGCCAGGTGTGAAGCAACTTCACGATCTAATTCATTCCCTCAAATCTCCTGACACAAGGCGAACTAGAATAGGCTGATTGATCCAGGTAGCGCCTTAATCTTAATATCCACGGAAATCGAAAGGAACCGCGCATACGCTAGAAAGACGTATAGGCAAGCCTTTCTTTATGATCATATGGATCACTTTTCGTGACTTTTCTTTCCATAGGCATAGATTGCAGTCTAACCAGCTTTCGAATTTTAGGGGCCTTATGTGAGAAAGGGAATCCGTCTTTTGATATCAATTGAAGAGAGGCTAAGTTGTGTGTGGATCAAGGGTAGGTTCTTAAAAGGCCTTCGAAAGGAAACTCCTGCAAATCCTGGATGGATCAAAGTCTACCCTTTTTTGAAAGGGTTGATCTACCGCCCTGGAAGTCTGTTCCAACAGCACCTATAATGTCTGATTTGCTTAGGAGAGTCGAAGTCTTTCGACAAAAGAAAAGAAAGAATCTTAGTAATACGATGTGCAGTTGGCTTTCTGTATGAATTCTGTGAATCCGCCCTAGAAAGTAAAGCGGAAAGGGATCACCACTTTTTCCTTCTATCTTTCCGAGCCCTTTCGTCGCTATGGTCATACCCCATCATCAAATCAAGACGAGCAATTTCCAAAGACTTGAGGAAAGAATGAAAAAAACTACGTTGTCGGGCCGGAGTCATACTTTATTTGTATAGGGTTTTGAATCTGCCAAGAACTTGTCGGTAGAAGCTATTGCATTCTTTGGCTTTTCGTGCGCTTTTCTTTCTAAGGTAAAGGTGCTCGCGTGCAACTCGGGAAAGAACCTAATGGAATGGTAGTTGGTATCGTCTGCCCTTGGTTCTTTTCTCGCGTAAAGCCGTGTTGTTGTTAACGTGTCCTTCGACCGCGGCAAAGAGCCCGAATCTTTCTTTTCTCGTCAGCGAAAAGGGATCCACTTCTGGTAGTGCGATATCACAGGCTTTCTCTCCATGACCCCGACTTTCCACAAATCAAAAGAAGATCCTTCTCAAATAAAGAAATTCTTATTATAACAGATAGAAAGAAAGTCATTCAGATGCAGTTGAAAATCTCCCCGAGTGCAAGCGGGGATATAGCAAGAAAGCAGCAAGGTTCTCTACTACTAGGACTTACCAATTCAATGACACCAGCCATCCCAACGCTACATCTCCTAACCTGCCCTAAGTCCTAGGAAAGAAAGAAAAGATAGGCGAACGGGAAGAAGTAGATAGGCGTCCGCTGAACCGATAGGCTTTGAAGATGTAATAAGGTTGACGAATAAATAAAAGTCTTGTTCTTGACGGCTTACTTTTGAAAGAATTTTGAACAACCTCTTTTGAGTAGGCTGAAGCCGTATAATAGTGCTGGAGGCAGATTTGAGAAAAAAAGCGGTTGATTTCTCGGTCCAATCCGAGCAATGCATACTCGTATCGTATATATTGGAAAAAAGAGCAATGCAGAACGAAAGTGGGAGATCCCGTTGTTAACGAGGAGGGTCGTCTTCGTCGAGTAGCAATCCTTGTAATGCCGACATCTACTCTTCTCGATCCATTGGCCCCTAAGGGGGAAATTGCAAGTCTGCATGGTGCCATTTAGGAATTTACGCGGCACCTCGTATGGACTACCGGTACCCCCTGTGGAGGGAGGCACCCACTCCAAGAAAGACTACGAGAGAGTGTACTGTCGTACTCTTCGCTGCTATATCCTTTGGAGGTCAATTAGTGCTCTTCGTCACTAGGTAGTAGCCGTAAGGCGAATCAGTTTGGTTTCACCAATTGTGGCTTGAAGGTGGAGCGAAGAGTGATAGGTCTATAGAGGCTTTGGGAATAATCTCTTTTTCTGCTTTGATCCTGGCTCAGAAGGAAGACCTTGGGTGATGGGCTTGGACTTGTAAGCAAGCAAGTAAGCAAGCTAGTCGAGGAGCGAGGTCTTGGTCCTGATATACTGGTAATGGAAGTTTTGGAGGGAGTTATCGTGCATAGGATGAAAAAGAAAGTCAGATAGTTAATAAGACCAATGGCCCCTTTCTTAACTCGATTCGCTCGTCATACTCTTCATTATTAGTAGGGGCATCGGTACTTTTGCTAAACACACAGGTGGTAGCGTAGTGATGTGGTGGTAGTATTAGGTAGTTGGGGTACAGAGGAAGTTAGGGGGCGGTTGAAGTATTCAATCGCTCAACGAGAATTCGCCATACTTAACGTCCTATTCTCGGACGACCTATTTCAAGGCGATTGTAGGAGGAGGAAGAAAAGGTAGCAAAAGACTACTAATAATAGGTTTGGTCTACGAGTCAAGTTTAGAAACTTGTGAGAGAATGAAGAAGAGGCTTTCAGCGCCCGGGTATTAGTAAGTCTGAGAACTTCGTCCCTACTCTTTTCTTTTGGCCTTTTCTAAGGGATTCTCTACCTGGGAAATAAGCCTCTTATCGAGTTGGCTACACAGGAGGTTCCTATACAAATGCAAACTTGGAGAGTGTGTGATGCTATGAATGATATGGGTGAATGGGACTTAGAGCAGGTTCGTGACTTTCTTCCCCGTGAAAGTCTTGAGGAAATACGTGCTGTCCCAAGGTCAGAGGTGGTACGTGTGGAACCGGGAGGGAAAGGGGACGTCAGTAGGTGACATAATTATCATATATTTGCTTAGTTCGGCTATCGGCAAGCTTAACGCCCTCGTCATACTATACTCTTATGGTTCACTCCGTTGATAAAGAAACTGGCATTCATGTGCGATGTCGGTTCAACCAAACCCGGAGAAGAAAGGGTGGCCCCCACCATCAGATGCAGCAGGAGAGGAGCGAGAGGGGCACTTTGTGCTCGAAGGAGCATAGTAGCGAGCGATAGCTACGAAGAGGACAGCGTTAATAATGCTTAGCCCTTATACACCAAAGACGCTAGCCACAGCAAGACCAAGAGCTTTATGCGCAGAGGAAAACCACTGAGAGCGGAGATAGGTCCTTTAGCCTACGATCTGGGCTCTTTCCCTCTCGAGATCAATTAGTCACTTTCGAGAAAATCAATAGCTCCTTACAGCTTTTTGGATAGTTGCATAGTTGCCTCGCCCATCCCGGGGATGAGCTCTAAGTCGAAGAGTATTTAGTAGTTTTCTAAGGTCCTAGGGAATTCCTTTAAGGGTTCTCGGATGGTTGAGACTGAGGATACTGACTCGGACGATGAAACTGATGAGAAGTTAATGGATGGTATTCCTATGGTGAAGCTCACTAAGGAAGGCAAGAAAGCTTTGAGAGATAGATCCCTGGCGACAGGCTCTAATCATTAAGCTTCTGGGAAAAAGAATTGCTTAGAATCTCTTAGTGGCTAGGGTCACGCTTATGTGGAAGCTGCTCTAACCGGGCCGGGGATCGAAAATCGCTTATGGCGCTCGCTTGAGGCTTCTCAGGCCGCTAATAACCTGCCCTGGCTCTTGTTGGGTGATTTCAACACGTCAAGCCAGAAGAGAGAATCAATGGGGAGCCTGTCACGAACAGAGAGACTATGGACTTGGCTACACTTTGTGAACTTGTTGATCTATCGGACATTCCTTCCTCTCTTTTTCTTCACTTCGCTTCGTTCGTTCGCTGAGAAAAATGTCAGTTAGGGCATTGGATTGGTTTAATCCCCAGTGGTGCCGATACACTCCCGACAGAATTCCTGAAAGAGAAATAATAGTTAATCTTGTCCAGGGAGAAAGCTGTATCGTCATCGCCATTAGTATGCCGAGAATGACGAGAAACTTACTAAGAAAAAGGGGTTCAAGGGCTATCAAGATAGATCTTTAAAAAGCATATGACCGAATCAAGTGGGACTTTCTACATTCTGTTCTTGAAGAGATTAGACTTCCTAACTCTTGGATTAATCTCATAATGCATATTGTCCTCTACCAAAAGATTTGATCTCTTATGGAATGGTCTAGCGAGCCTTCTTCAGTCCGTCACGAGGAATTCGTCAAGGGCGACTTCAATCCGCCTTATCTATTTCTCTTAGGCTTAGAGAAATTATCCCATTTAATAAATGATGCTGTCAGCAACCTTCCTCTCCTTTCGCGTGGAGACCTCGTACCCACCAAATCTTGACTTCACTTCGCTTCGAAAAGTTTGTACAGTCGACTCAAGTCGACCCTCTCCCGTTGATCTCGCTCCCTCTCGCTTCGCACCAACCGTGGGATGTCAATGACAGTGAACATGACCTTGGATTTGATTCCTTGAACCTCCACATCCGTTTCAAAGGTTCCCAAAACAGATCGCTTACTGTCGTCATAAGCACGGATGACAGTAGCAGACTTTTGCAGCATATCTTCAGTCAGACTTAAATAGGGCAGAATCTTCAACGGACATATGTTCAAAGCTGAACCATCGTCAACCATTACACATGGCATAATTCGGTCCATGATTTGAACCTTCAAATACAGAGCTTTGTTGTGCCGGGCGGCAGGTCAGCATCAGAAAATGTTATCACCGGCGTTTTCTGAGCTGGATCCACTACCTCATCCGCAGTCACCCTTCCAATCAGACTACAGAGTTCCTCGGGAGAGGATAATGGAGCCGCTTCTAACTCCATAAGCTTTTTCACCCGGTGACGGGCGCAGACTCCATCAATAACTGCCATATACTAACCCGAGCAGGGGTTTTCTTTAACTGATCAACAACAGGATCATCCACCTTGACAGGAGAGGGCAACTGAGCTGCTACAGGAGCTGATGGAACTGAAACTTGCGCTGAAGATCTGGCCGGCTGCCCCGGCTGTTGTCCCTGAACCGCTTTACCACTTGACTGATTCTGCACAGACTGACTGATTACCGGCTGTCCCGGCCTTTTCTGATTCTGACTCGACTGAGCTCGATCACTTGATTGATTACCGGTTTTTGACTTCACTTCGCTTCGCTTCGTTCGTTGAGGTCAATTATATCGAGCCTACCACTGCGGGTTAGGTTATTGACTTGTCCATCGGCTGTGCTGAGAAAAGTGCCGGCAATCTTCGACACCACTGGCCACTTAGGTTGTTCATGAAAATTGATAAAGCCCTCTTCCTCAGAATCACAATCGGTTAAACTGATCCGAGTTGCCTTGTTTTTTACTGCCTGCTCAGAGACTGCCTTGGGCACAAACTGAATCTCCTCATCTTCCGACTCAATGTCTGGAAATCGGATTTTCTGAACCTTATTAGCTGAAGCAGACACCGCTCCCACCTTCACAGTCTCATTAGCCCCACAGATTTGGTCTAATACAAAGTTCTCGGGCAAACCCGACTGCACCATATTCACTTGATTCCCGAACCTGGGTAACGGATTGGTTTGGGTGCTGGGTTTAGCCNAGGGGCGGCTCCTCTAACCGATCATCCTTGATAAGCTGCTTAATCTCACGGATCAGACCTCCGCATTCATCGGTAGTATGTCCCCCCAAGACATAGTAGGAGCAGAAATTTTTCTTGTATTCAGGAGCAGGTGGAACAACCGGTTTAACAGAATCAAGAAGCCCGACTCTTCGGCACTTCGAAAATATCTTGGACAGTGGAATTGACCACGGGTTCACGGCACCCCGTTTTCTCTTTTCTTTACCAGAGGTTGCCTCCTCGATGGCGGCAATGTCAACCTTGGGACTCGCAGAACTGGGCTTTGATGATGACCCTGCAGCAGCTGATTTATAGTTAGGAGTGAACGTCTTAGGCTTGAACCCGGAACCTTGGGACTGCCGAGGGAGAGTCTCATACTTTTCTACCCAACGAACGAAGCGAAGCGAAGTGTACTTTAGAAGCGAAGCGCAGTAAAGTCAAAAATATGGGTCGAGACTCGCTTACTTAAAATGCATTTAAGATAAGATCTGATATCGAATCAGTCTCAGCGTCAGTCTATCTCTATTTCAAGCTCAGACTGTCTCCCCGTCCATTTTCTTTGAGTAGCTGTCTGCGTAACACATGCCGATCGGAACTAGTTTCATCTCGAGATGTCAGCGATTGGATCGAAAAGAACGAGATTGGTTTCCAGGCTTAGAGGAGAATCCACAAAGAGGACAGGCTCAATCGATTGAAGGACAGAGCGGAGCATCTAAGCGAGTAAAAGGGGCTAACTTGGATGCCGGCTCGACAGCGAAACCTGATAGTTAGAAGACCACTCGGATTAGTATGAAGATTCCTTTTCTACCAGTCCAGGGAATTAGCTTGATGTGAAAGGTCTGGATGAATGTCCGGGCGATAGGATAAGGTAAAATGCTCGAGGAACGAACGTAGGATGTGCCGAGGGAAAACCGAACGATGACTTCGAACGTGAGCGTTTTGCCAAAAGTGTTCATCTAAAGTCATTGTCAGGCAGAAATTCCCTTTTTGAATAAGCGGTTAGGAATCGACGAATAGGTTCTGAAAGGGAGTTAGTTATCGTTGACTGGTGCAAGACTTTCAGTGCCTTGCTTACACTTTCTTTCTACTGGTTGGCTTACCCTGTATTTCAAGAGTGAATACCGCAGTGAGGGTCGATGTAATTGAGTCCGCATATCCTTAACAAGGAAGCGCTTTGCGAACTCAGCTGCACCAGTAGACGAAATGAGAGACTTGTGTTAAGATATCTTAACACAAACCCGCCCAAGGGCCGACTGGTACACCCGGGCTACGTCTGGATCGGTAATGAGAACATCATCACCCAGTACAGCGTATCCTGTGAACCTAACCCCAGGCCTAACTTGTTCTGCCGACCACCACACCAACAAGTGGTGCGAGAAGGCAAACAGTGGCCAAGAGCCGTAATAACCTAGAGGTTGACCAGCCACAAAAGAAATTGTGGAATACCGTCTTACAAACGTCAAAGAAATTCGTTGCCAACGTACTGTTAACAACAGACGAGGCAAATGACCGGTCAAACAATAGGGCTACTATTTCAAAAAGATACAGAAGCGACCAACGATCAGTGGCCGACTTAAGATCAAAACTGAAACAGTGGCTGCTTGGAATTAAGCGAACCAGAGGAGCCGTCTGATTAAATGTACCGTCCATGGGAATGCGCTTCAATACAGACGCAAACCATAAATGGACAGGACGGAGTAACCTCTGATTGAAATAATTACCAATAGCAAAGCTACGACGCTTGCCAGCTCCCTCTAAAGTACAACCGACTCGACCCGGTGTAGGGGGAATACTGAGATCATCACATGATGGCAAGAAAGGACCTATACGCCTTTCTTAAACAACCAATTCTCGACATCCCATATCATCAGAAGAAGGCGATTCTCTCTGCTTACTCTTTCGGAGCAGAAAACGTGTGTTAAGCATAAAGTAACTTTTTGTCTTGATTTAAGAGTTCGCCAAGGGGCTTAATATTTTAAAAGGCTCACGTTTTTTGGCTTCCTATAACAACCCCCCCTAGGTTGTGGCAACTTTCTACTCCTCCTGAGCTGTCTTGCCGTATCTAAAATGGCTTCGAGCATCCGGCTTCACCACTGCTGCCTGCTCTCTCCTTCTTTGGCACTTCCCAGTCTACAACAGACCTGATCTTTTCTTGATCCATCTGAATCACACCCTTGAAAAATCCGAAACCATTTGCTATTACAGCAAGAAAGAAAAGACTAAATATTTATTAATCCCTACTACTGTCGGGGCTAGCTTCCCCTACCCTTCCGCTTTCAGAGTCAAGTTGGTTACCCTTGCCTCGGTCTAAAGTAGAGGTTCTCGTATGGATAGATGGCCTTTCGAGGTCAGCTATATCATCTCAATCAGAGACTAGCCCCGATGAGATTAGGGCCAGGCTCATAGCTGCGTCGGAATTATCTTAGATAAGAGAGATTCGTTCTGCCCTTTGTTTGCTTTTCTAGTCAAGTGAGTCTCACTTCGCTCTCCTCTCCCTTTCAGTCGAGTGAAGGTGTAATTGACCTCTTCTCAATTACATTGATCCTAGGTTTCCTTTTCCCTCCTCGAATCTCTCAATCAGAAGCTGGAGAGGAGAGATGACATATAAGAAGTGGAACTCGCTCGAATAGAGAGAGTGTAGGCTCACTCACAGGTCAGGGGCTAGTACAGCAAACAGGGGTTTCCATTATTGAAGCTCGAAGAGCAGAGGAGAAGGAATCAAATAAGGGCACTTCTTAGGACCAGTATGAGGCTCACTATCCTATCTAGTGGCTGCTTTCTAGGCTCAAGGGTCGATGTAATTGAGACAGCTATTCGGAAAAAAAGACTACTCACTCCACTTCTGAGCTCAGAGCAGATCTTTACTTAGGTTGGGGTTAGACTCCAGCCCCCTATCTAAAGGTTAGCCTTTCTCGAGTTTCTAGGCTCAAGCTATTAGCTGGGTTCGAGACTCAAGGAATTGTTGACGAGACTAACTCAACTTCTAGGCTCATGTGGCTCGCTAGCCTATATAACTTCACCTATCTAACTGAAGGAACTCGTCCAAGGAAGACTTGCTCAAGTCTGTTAACTGACTTACTGAAGCTGGCTCACAACTTACTTACTGCAAAATGCAAAAAAGCTGTTTACAACCTCTTTTTTTGCTTATTTTCTTTTTTCAGTTGGTGTTCAGTTCTACTTTCCTTCGGTGCTCGCTGCTTTGAATCTGGAAATAGGAAAGAGTGCGAGTCACTATTTGACCACTAGAGAGGCTAGAAAGCCATATATCCCTAGCAAGGAGACTGGGTCTAGAACGAGGATTGAGGCTTTAAGGGCAGCTGCAGGCCCGCGGGGGACGAAAGAAAAGGAATCCATTAATCGAAACTGGGCTTAAGGAATCCATCGATCCAACCCGTCCTTAGGCTCTCATCAATCCTGGAACTCCTGCAAAAGGCTCGATATAATTGACCTAAGCACAAGAACGAACTTGAGGCTATTCCTTCCTCCCTTTTTATGACTGAACTTCGCTTCGCTTCTAAAGTTGGGGAGACAGACCTGAGACTAGACCGGGAAGCAGACTCAGAGCGGTCATATCGAATCTGAACAAGTCGAGTCGAAAGCAAAAAAAAGGAAAGTGATTGCAACTCGAGTTCCTGAGGATCAAAAAAGGCATGAGCTAGCTTCTGTGATGATGAGAACGAATTCGAATTCCTGTTTGGCCCTATAAAGAGGTTGGCGGGGGAATATAGGAAGTTCAGGCTTTATCGGATCAAGCCATTTCAACGTAGCAGGCGGGACCACTGATAATAGTAACAACCCTCACCTCGGATAGAGAAAGAAGAAAGTCGTCCATCTAGTCAGGATTCAGATTGTGTGATAGAAAGGGCTTGGGCAAAGGGTTTGGCGTAGTCAGGTTCGGTTCACTTGCCGAATGCCTTGTTTTTCTTTCACTCCTCGACACCATATCAAGTTGACATTGGGACACCCTACCTATACTATAGGGAAGAGAGCAGCAATGACCACTTCTTTTTTGTTTGCCACTTTTAGACGAAAATCTCCATTTTGTTATGTGGTCAGGCTGACTCGAGCTTCTTCCTTGTTTTGTTATCGGCGATCGAAAGCATAATCAGCACTGAACTCACGATGGGTGTACTACGGGACTTCCAACGCATTCAATCATTGGAAAGAAAGAGAGTCGAATAAGGAAGAGAAGAGATCCGTTGATGCTCGATCCGTGCCTGTCTTGATAGATGGTCTCGACCGAATATTTAATTAGAAGAGAGAAGCTATCACCAGCGAAGGCATTTCCACTTGTCTTTTGCCCAGAGGCTCTTGTACAGATTTAAAAACAGAATACGAATCAAACCTGAGAGATTGAAGGGGGGGGACTGGCAAAGTAGCCTGTTGTCAGCGCTAGGAAGATGAGATAAGGTCTTTGATTCCGCTTTCCAAGCTGCAACCGAGTAGAGCGGTGCAAGGCTTGTAGTTGACTCTAATAGAGGAGACTGACGCAGCTAGATAGACCGCCGGTTAATCAGTAAAAAGAAAAAGAAATTTTGTATACGCTGGAGCATCCAATGATGGCCTGGAAGATGAATTAGGGCTTCTATTTGAATCAGATTAGGAAAGATTTATATGCACTAATGGTGATCTGAGGGACTCCAAGACCCCCTATCATGCAGTCTTGAATAAAGATGTAGTTCTGCCCGACGGCCCGGGGCCTGGGATGATGATGGAATGAAATTTTTCACTCTTTGACTTCACTTCGCTTCGCTTCTAAAGTATCGTCGAACCTTCCTCCAACAATTTATCCAGTTGTAGTTCTTCGCCCTGTTTGTAGAGAGTCTTTCTCCGACCTTTGAAGTTGAACACTTTACTTTCTCAATTGTGAGCTGAAAAGTGAGTCTGAAGCGAGTAGAAGCAGAAAGTTGGTGGCCGAAGTTCTTCCCCCTTCCACCTGAGGGTTTGCAAGAATGGGAGGTCTATTTTCTCCCCTCACCCGCAGATGGAACCACTTTCGCACTCTTCATCTTCAGTGGACGATCGCAGCATTTTATCGAAAGCGGTCTCGATGTGGTGGAAGTGGCCCAGGATTGTACTGATTCGCACCATACTGTAACCCCCGGTACCTGTGTGAGAGTATCATCCACAACGAAAGAGCCGAGGCTGTTTGGAAGGATCTCAATGAGCGCTTCTCCCATGGAAAGATCACAAAGATCTATAAATAAAGCCGGGCAAAGCAGAGTTCTTACTCATTCCTATAGGATAATGTTGTTACTTTATGTGGTCATTGTGTAACCACCTACTCCCATCTTTTAGAAATCCACCTTGGCAGTAAATGCAACGCAGTAGGAATTTGCTATATAACTTATAGTAGTTGGGTCTCTCGTTAACAGAGATGGATTGGCTTGTCGTGTACCAAACCCTCTTTTGCTGTAGACCTTTCAAGCCTGGATGAACCGTCCTTCCTATGGATAAAAGCGAAAGAAGAAGCAATTGATTTCCCATTTGATTTTATTAGATCATTTCTTTTGCGAAGGATACAACAGGAAAGGCTGGATATAAAGCAGGAGTCGAAGAAGTGAAAGGGGCTGCGGGAAAAACGGAAAGAATTCCTATTGCAGAATTGTGAGTGAGACAGCTTGATTCACGGATTGGGCCACTCGTCCAACCAAGATAAATAGGGTCGCGGGTTATACATTCCCTGACGAACGAATGCAATACATGGAAGGCTGTAGGATGTAGTACTGGACGGCTTTACCTACGACATTTCCTACTTTGAATACAAAGATAATTCTAGAGAATAGGCTGCCTGGAAAACTTGGAATGATTACAGAATGCTTACCGGCTTCGATTCGGTCTATTCCCGCTGGCCTGTGCTATTGAAGGAGAATGCGGAAGGAATCCTATTTACCCATTAGGGGTTCAAATAGTGGAATATGCTTTTTTAGCTTGGCATAAACCTTACCTTCTTCTTATGATTCTGCTCGAACTTTCTTCTCTAAAGGGAGTTCAGCTAAATAGAGTTCTGCGACCGAAAGATTCTGTGTTGAAGGAAAAAGCGCTCTTTTCTTTCTATTTTTCTATTTGTCAAGATTGGTTGGGTCATCATTACTTTAGAAAGAGAATGCCACTCAAATCAATGGCCATGCCCGAAAGATGCGAGACTAAAAGGAGAGGAGAGCGAAGTGAAGTTCCTGTTTGCCCAGTCGGGTCTCTGACGAAGTCGTTGCCTCACGCGGTTCAACGCTTTATCTTTATATATGTTTGTCTGGTATGGCAGTAGTTGCTAGCATTGAGTAAGGTCGTGAAGTCCGTTGGTTGGCGTGAAGCTCTTCCTAAGGTTTTTTTCAATTGACTAGTTATTAATCGTATCATTAAGTCGACTAACTCGTACTTTTAAGGGTAGTAGTCAGCAACTAAACAACCCCGCGCGTGCGCACCTGGGGCGATGGTTTATCGATCCGATCTAGTACCGGTGGTTCTGTGTCTTCTATATCTAAAAGGCTGGCAGGGCCGATAAAGAATCAATCGATAAAGGTTCAAATCAAAAGAATAGCTTTCTTCCAAGGATAAAAAGTTCATGTTTACTAAAGTAATAGAATAGTTGTACGAATCGAATTGGGTATTCTCGCAAGAGCAACTCCACTAGTGTTGTTGTGACTGAGATGAATAAAATACTCAAACGGAGTAAGCGGTGTCTTCTGTGGTTACTGTTCCCGTACCTGTAGCTGACAAAGAGGAAGTTACAATAGCTACCCTTGCTGATGTAGCTCGATGTCGCTCTCTCTCTTTCCGGCTGAGTGCGGAATTGAGAAGGATGTAGTAGCAGCGTAAGAGGCCTTATTTCTTCTAGTTATGCGATCAGGGACCTTGCTTGGTTGACTCCTCTTAGCCCGATGGAGGGAAGGAACTTATTTAGGAATTATGCCACGTCTGCTGAAAGAATAGAAGCTCTCGGAAAGATAATTGTCAGGAGAAACGACTCTGTAAACACAATCAATATTGAGTTCTGTTAGCGGTCTTCGATGAACAGAGGCGGGCTAGTAACAGATTATTTATTGGGCTTTTTCTCATTCTTCTTTGGCACCTACGCCTATCTCGTCAGCCTCTTCTTAAGTGAGACACCGTCCATACCCAACAGCGAAGTTCAGTCATAGAAGTTTTGACTCTTTCCATTTCCCTCTCATGGAAAATCAATGTATAGATTAGCGCCGTATACCTACGCATATCGCTTAGCGCTTGACCCATATGGATAGCGGGGAACTCCCACTCAAAACAAGTTTTCTAACTAGATCACTGATAAACTATTGGCTCGGCTGGAAGAGAACTGTTCGATAGCTCGATATACTAAATATACTACGGGATAGGCTTGGCCAAAAAAAATTGTTTAAGCGTACTGAAATGGAGTTTTGGTTTAGGCTTTCCTGCCTTTGCTTAGAAGCATGAGTTGGAGGAGAAGGAAGTTACTTATACGATAGCTCCTACCTTCAAATATCTAAGATCTTTCTGTGCTATGATCTACAGCTTAATGGCAAAACGATGCTACGGCAGCTGACAGCAGTCGGTGACCAATGCCGCTAACAGGGGTGCTACAAGACTGAAAGGCAAGGCTAGCTTGCTAGTTTGAGCAGATCCTTCATTCCCTGAAAGCTGAGAGAGGGAGGTGGCCGTAGCGCCCGAACGAGAAGGGATGGATTCCGCTAGGTCTCTGAATAGAGAAAGAATCAGTCTGTGAGTTGCATAGCATCTGATAGCTATACAAGAAAGAAGTAGCTAGTTCAGTAAGCCTACGGAGATCAGCAGTAGCCGAACAGGATGCTAATCAGTCAGATAGGAAAATTGGCATCTAAGCTGGCTCACGGGAGATAGCTATATCTTTTCTATCTTCTTAATAACAAGCACATAAGCAGGAAAGCTAGCAACCCCGATTCCTTCTTACTTAACTTTAGGCGGTGTCCATACGTTCCGGCGTGGTGCAAGAGAAAGAAAATGTTTCACTATATTCCCTTTCATGAGATCAGTAGTTGGTGGACTTCTTCAAAGTCTTTCCGCGGAGAGCACAAAAGCTTATTAATTAGGAAAGAGCAGCTAAGAGTTTGCAACTAATATAATAGGGCCACCAGATCCCGGGTATACAATAGTTGCATCTCGGCGGTAAGACCGTTACCAAAACAAAGAAATAAGGGTCTGCTCGATCTGCCACTCGCTCTAACGTGGATCAGCTGTATCTGTCGTGAAAGGCAGTTAGTCGTTATAGGTATAACCACCTGGGTAGTACGTACGGGCATAAGTAGCGACCTAAGTAGTATGGGCATTATGTTGTAGATTTGAGTTCTTACCCGTTTTTCTTATTGGTATTACGGACGGATTATGAATTTTGTGATCGTTAGAGGGCACATAATTAATGTTGATCTCGATCTGATCGCCTCTTTCATGATCAATTCCGGAATTGGATAGAGAAGAGTTTGGATATTTCACTGAAAGAAAGAGACTTCGGGCTTTGTTTATGTAGTACAAAAGAAAAGGTTTTTTTTGTTAGAGACGGTTCTGTGAATCAGAGTGACGCTGGTTTCAAGCCGATGTAGAGACGGTCGAACATACTTTCTATTCAGAGAGAGTTGATCTAGTTGGTTCTCCCAAGCTTTCCATACCCTTTGGTAGAGCTCCGGGATTTAAGTACCCGATCCCTTAGAAGTTAGCTTTGCCTCAATTACATCGACCCTTCTGCCTTAACTTATTTAGCCTTGTATAAAAGGCCCTGGCCCGGTGTCTTCGTCAAATATAGCAATATCTGCATAACAGCCTCCCAGTGTTCAACTCGAGGCTGAGCCATAAAAGGGCTAACCACTTTGGGTCTTTGACTTTCACCAGAGCTACTTGGGAAACTTCCACGAGCCTGGTAGGGTAACTTCTGTCTTCATGTTCACTGATTTTTCTGACTCTTTCATTGCGCCTCCCTCGAAGTCAAAACTCTCCAGTGAGACCAGATCGGCCAGAAGCCTTGGTGTGCTAACAAAGCATTCCCTCTGAACTTCCCGTTCTATTTCTTTATTTCTTTGTGGACTATAGAGGGAGCCCTGTAAAGGGATATACCCTGGAGCTGGTTTTCTTGAAAGGAAGGTATACCTGCTATCTGGCCATGCATTGGAAGGTTCTTTGGAGACTTTCTTCCTACATTCACAAATCCTTCTTCCTAAACCTGAACAGCAGTTCTTGACGGCAAGGTCAAAGATCAATTCACTCTTCTTTTCTGAATTTCGATTCTTTTTGTGTTCAGTCTGTGACTTCACTTCGCTTCTAAAGATGCAATTGACCTGGCACTTTTGAAGCTTGTTTCCACCTCCTTTTGTTCGTAACGTTGGGATTCAAAAAATCACATAAATTCAGGGAAGCTGTGTTTGATGCTCGGCTCTTCTTTATCATTTGCCTTTCCGCTTTCAGAAAGAAAAAAAATAGCGTAGTGTAGTTAAGTAGTCTAGATCGTTTCATGATTGCTTTTCAAAGTCAGATACGACCGGAAGTCTACTCCTATCAGTGAGTACCGGTTTTATACATCCCCTTTTTTTCTCATAATGCGGGTGGGCTTTCCCACTTCAAGGGGGTATGCAACAAACCCCGCTTCCACCTCTTGCTCTTGATGCGCCCTATTATCTTTGTTTGGGCAAGATCAATTTAGTTCCGGAACAAAAAAATGGGATAAAGTCGAATAGAAAAAGGCTAGGAAAGCAGACCGGATAGAAGAAGAAGAAATAAGAATCGAAGTTTAGACCGAACAAACGAAGCGAAGTGAAGTCATAAAGGAAAGGAGTTCTACCTATAGAAAGGATCATCAGAGAGGAGACAACCCATTTATGATTCCAGCCTAGAAGACTAGTAAAAGGAAGGATCATGTTATATATTTCAGGAGCTAGATTAGTTGCCGATAAACAAGTAAGAATTGCCTCAACAAAAATTTATGGAATTGGACTTAAAAAAGCCATTCAGGTTCGTTATCGATTAGGTATCAGTGGGAACATAAAGATCAAAGAATTAACTAAGTATCAGATCGACCAAATTGAACAAATGATAGGTCAAGATCATGTTGTTCATTGGGAATTGAAGAGGGGAGAACGAGCAGACATCGAACGATTAACTTCTATTTCTTGTTATCGTGGAATTCGTCATCAAGATGGATCGCCCTTACGCGGTCAACGAACTCATACTAATGCTAGGACTTGTCGCAAGCAAATTCGGAAATGAAATCAGTCTACCGAAAGAACAAGCAACGGATTGAGCAACTAGCGCGAAAGCCGTTGCGCGTTAGCGCATCCGTTTTCTTGCTCCTTGGTACTTGTCTGATCAATCACACTGATAGCTTCAATAGTTCACTGAAATTTTTTTTCTTTGGTATTTCACCGCTTACTAATCCAGTACTACCTTCTTGACCCAACTTAGAAGCGAAGTTCAGTCAAATCCTTTCGCGTCTTCGTACCTTCTTTCTATTCCTTTTCTTCGCTTCGCCAATACTTCTGACTGAACTGCGCTTCTAAAAGTTTGTTGGGTCGAGCTACTTCGTGCCTCTCAAGGTTTAAGCTTGGCTCGTTCCTCCTCCTCAGATAAAGATGTCTCTGACGCTACTCGCCCGGCAAGAACAACTTTCTCTATTTTTCTTTTTTTGGCGGGAGAAAAGAGAGAGACTTTCTATCAGTCAAAAGCAGATACCGCCCCCCCATGCTCCCACGGTCCGCTTACCGAGGAATAGAAAGGAAGGACCCGGGGCCAGAGCAAGTTGGGTTGGGGTAGAGAGCCGTAAGCGCGGTGGGGGGTGACAGAGAACGTGCTCGTACGGTTCATAGAAGGATATGATAAACTACTTGATTGTTGGGAACTTTGACTCCTCTATATTCGAAATATGCCTCTCTAGGAGCATTACGATCTGCAGCTCAAATGGTCCCTTATGAAGTCTCTATTGGTCTTATTCTTATTGTGCGCCTTGTGAGCGCGTTTGGATCCGCGAAGGCAATCGCTCGGCTGTTCCCCTAACCCAACCCGGGAACGGACCGGAGGGAAGCGCAGCATGGGGAATGTCCGCGTCTCGCCGCAAGGCTCATTTTGAGTTGTGGGTCATAGGGTGGGCAGCTTTATCGGCTCAAGGGCCGGGGCACAAGGGTCCTAGTACTATCCAGGTGCGAAGAACCCCGGAGGTGACTGCAATGAGCAGAAATCTCACTCACGGGCCTAAACGACGAGCAAACACTCGAACGTGAGAGCAAGGGATCACCCAACGAATGGACGAGCTCAAAGGTCTATGACTTCACTTCGCTTCGAAAAGTTTGTAGGGGTCAAGCTTTTAGGTTGTTTAAGTAGGTTGGGTGACAGATCGGCCATAGGAGTACTCCGGGATATAAACCAGGGCAACAAAAGTGGACGACGATGCCGCCCGTTTTCATTTCGTGGAAGTCCCCGGCAGAGGAAAGGGCTGTAGGTGATGGCGCATTCTGCTTCTTATCGTCAGAGGGGCGCTGAAATCCTTTCTATTGGTTCGTGCGCGGCAGCTGGTATAGATGAAAAAAGGCGGGCCGCTTTTTCGGGACCTATGAGATTCTATTCTCTTAATATAATAGGCAGAAAGGCGAAATAGGAAAGCGGCCGAGCTGACTGATGAGTGCCTTTTTAGCCTTCAGAAAAGAAAAAAGGCTCTCATGTGAAGCTAACATGGCTGGCTACATTCAAGTATAGCCAAAGAAAGATGAGACGGGACGGACGGTCAGAGGCCGCAGCGGGACTACCACTTGGGATGGGAATGGCTCAGCCCACATGCATCATTTGATGAAAGCACTCCAAGTCGCCTCCTCGAAGTGGTTTGTCAACCATAAAGAACGAAGCGAAGCGAAGTGTATGAACTCCCTCAAAACAATGCTCCTCGTTGCAAGCAACCTGGGGCTTGCCTTGCCTCAACATCTAAATAAAGAAAGGGCGGGCGCCGAAAAAGAAGCAGCCCAGCCTCTTCAAGAAAGCTTTGCTTGGTAGGCGCTGCCTACTCACTCGGACAATGCTCTTCACACTTTCGTGTGCAGTTCCGCCCCCTTATCCCATGCTGAGTCACAGGCAGCGCCTCGAAAAGCCCTTTAAACCATAAGAAGCGAGCCACATGCAGGGAAACTTGCACGTGTGGTTCTGGCCGGGGACCCCGGTATACTGTACTAATATGTGTAGGTCCCCGTAATTCGAGTGAGATTGTCATGGCGCAAAAGCAGATATGGTCCGGTATTCCCTTGTTCCCTGTATTGGTTATGTTCTTTATTTCTTGTCTAGCAGAAACTAATCGAGCTCCGTTTGATCTCCCAGAAGCGGAAGCTGAATCAGTTGCAGGCTATAATGTAGAATATGCGCGGGATGCGATCCTTAATAGTTCACTGTTGGCGGAAGCCAATGTCCCTGGGACTCATTCTGACTGAAACAAGTGGCGGGTCTTTACCAACTTCTCAATGTAATCGATCCTACGCTTCACTCGACCAGCTTTATGACTTCACTTCGCTTCTAAAGTTGAGGTCAATTACACCTTCCCTCTCCCTATGGTCGAGACTCACTTTGCTCTCCTTATTGATTATTGAAAAGGCCCCAACCTTAAGAGGGGGCTACGCTAAACCTTTAGTTTGATTGCAGGGGCGCGTTAGCGCTTAACTAAGAAAATCGAAATTTCTTGGTCGCTTTTTTTTATTTATAGAAGTAGGTCCTTGCTAGGGCACTCTTCATTCTTCATTCGAAACTAATGAGTGTCCGGTAGGGGCTTTCTGCCTTGTTATCCAAAAGGGAGTTGGGTAAAGCAAACTCCCTCCTTGGAGGAGCACGGGCTTAGTCAAGTAGAACCGGGTTGCGCTGCTTGATGCTCTGATCGAAAACAAATCAGTGGGGCCATGCCGGTACGACTGAATATGCGTTAGAAAGGTCAATCCCTCCCCTACGACACCAAAAAAACCGGGCCGAGCTTCTAAACAGCCCGCCCGCTTCCATAGAACAATATCGTGGCAACGTAGACCTAAGTGGTCATATTGAATCCTTGGGAACCATCACAAGTACGGCCGGCCTATATTTGAACGAAAATGCCGTGTCGTCCAGCGGAGCCTATAAGAAGGTGACTCGCGCAGACAGCTGACTCCTTTTCAATAGAAAAGAATAGCCAAACCAACCCAGCTGGCTGGTCAATCTCAGAGATCTTATCGGCCGGCAAACCGGAGACGGACGACCACGGTCCCGACCTTACCAGCACCGGAGGTGTACTAATCAATGAACCCCAAAAACCGACTTTGATTTTCTGACAAAATAAACCAAGCCTAAGCGTCACGACAACATCCAAAGGCCACCTTTGGATTCTTAAGTGTAGGGGGGCAAGAAGGAGCACGTAGGAATGCCGACCACTACATAAGCCACTAGTGGCTCAGAGAAAGCGAGCAAGACCTTGTATAGGTTGGGAGGAGCTTGAAGAAGTTCGCCCCAACTTTAGAAGCGAAGTGAAGGAAAGGAGAGCAGCTTTCGCCCCTATCAGAATCAGAGAAAGCCATTGCGCGCTAGCCTAGCTAGCTAACTCCGCTGGCTGTTATGTTAGTTGTAGCGCGCCTTCCCTCCTTCTCTCACTTCGGAAAGATTTAGCATTTTGATGACCTGGTCGAGAGAGTACGATACATCGGTGTAAAAGATTGAGTTGGATCTGTGAGGTTGGTTATAGTAAGGCCTGGTCGTCAATTACCTCTCTCCTTTTGGTCTTTGACTGAACTTCGTCAATTACTACCCTCTCTTTTCCTTCACTTCGCTTCGCTTCGAAAAGTTTGTACCTCTCGATTCTCCCCGGATTGGAGTGGAGGTCAATTACATAGAGCCTGCTCATATAGCTAGTCTGCGTGCCGATCGTTTCCCAGAGGTGGGAGCGGTCCCCTTTTGGGAGTCACTGCTGTCCAACTCGCACCGGGCGATTCCTCCCTACTTGTCTATGACTTCACTGCGCTTTGCTTCTAAAGTTGAGGTCAATGTAATCTCTCCACAAGGAAGAGTAGTTTGTTTACTGAATGCCATGCTGCTGGTATTGGTATTAGTACTAGAGCTGGTATTATTACTCTTTTCTGACTGACTAAAGGCACTGAATGATGCTGAATGAAGGCCTGATTGAGGGACTGAAGGAAGGACTTTCTATCATTGTATCGCCTATGCCTTTATCGGGTGAACCACTTTGAGGAACTTCAAGCAGCACTGATTGGCTTACTTGCTTGCTAGAACCTCCTTACTTTGATTATTACTGAAACTACCGTACCGTATCCAACTCCAACCCCGAAAGGGGAAAGAGCAAGAACAGCACTTGTTGTATCGTTCGCCCGCCAGTAAACCCCTCACTGACTTGCTTAGCTCGGCTCGGACCCTTTCTAGTACTAGTAGCAGTAGTAGTCTAAGTTCTTTCTTTGCAAGAATAGGTTGTGAAATAGGCGGATGGTCTAAAAGAACTTGATGGATTATGAGATACTGCCTTCCCTTAAGCGCATTCAGTTGGAGTGTACCAGTAGTTCACAGACCCCTTCTAAGTAGAAGTCCACCTTGTATCAGGATCAGGATTAGACCTACCCTTTCAGAGGCTCGATATAATTGACCTTCAAGCGTTGTTAGGGATCTGGCAGTGAGTTAGCCTGTTTAGGAAAGAAAGCGAGTTTCTTTTCTATCCCAATGCTTGAAGCATAACTGTTGAAGTGACGTATAAGCTATTTGGCTTCTATGACTGAACTTCGCTTCGCTTTTAAATATGGTCGACAAAGTTGAGTCGACTGTGAAGGAGAGGAAGGTGGGGAATTTGAGTTTCCAGTCGGCATTCGAAAGAGGTCAATTATATCGAGCCTCTCTCATTTGATGTTTAAGCTATGACCATGGACCAAAGTAAATTTAGAGCCCAACGTCCTTGGAATCCTTTAATCCAGAGCGAGGATTACTGCAAGGTCTCTTCAAGAGCCATATCTCTTTGTTCTCTGCCCTTAAGAGGCTCATGGCCTTTCCAATGGATCTTGAGAAGGTCTTATGACAGGATTCAATGTTGATGCTTGGTGTAATACGATGACGCCCCAATGAGCGGATTTCTTTCACTTTCACTTCTACTTCTTCTCGGCTGGAAGAATAAATGATGCTAAATTTCTCATTCATTTTATCAAATATAGCTGAATCTGCTAGCTGGTCCATTCAATCAAAGATGGCTTAAACTCTCTGTCGTACCTCTTTCCCGGTTCGGATATNGTGAGCAGACTCACCGAAGGCTCGGAAAAACGGGAAAGCTCACCGAGCTGACCGAGACTCGAAGCGAAGCGTGTGTTCCATCCGGGTGGTGAACTAAGCGAGCCCTCGGAAATCGAAGTTGTCAAAAACAGGGAAGCCGATTGGGTAGGTGTGGCGGGGCCTAAGGATAAGGACACCGGCACTCGGTTAGACTCAGCAATCGGGCAAAAACAAGAAGCAAAAGAAGAAAAGAAGGAAAGAAAGGGAGTTGTATCGCCCTTTGGGCTCTTATTCTCTGATCTTGCCTTACAGAAAGTCGAGTTTCTCCTTTCCTCAGGCGCTAACTCATAGCTACATCTTGGCTTACAGCCGCTAGAACAAGTAACTCATCTTGGCTTGCAGCCGCTGGAAAGGTAGTTTGGCCCCTACTATTGCTAGCGCGGGGGCCTTCTTTCCTTGTCTCGAGTGTTAACGTAAAGTAGTGTTCGAGAACACCCACAGCAAGGATGCGGATTTGAACCCAATACCGATCCTCTAAAGCACACAGGACCTGTACCTTAGGAGTGCCGAGAGTACCCGATAACAGGTAGGCGAAGAACGCTGGCTTTATGATCGGGCGGTTGCTGTAGGGCTACAAGAAGGCGGACACTAAGGGGAGCACGCGTCGAACCAAACCTCGATACTGGATCACTCGTGTTTCGCGGGACCACTGTAACAGGGCGATCATAAAATCGGTCGCCTTCTACCTGGTGGAGTGACACATCGAGCAGACAACTCCCTCCCCTTTGGCCAGCATAAAACGATCAAAAGGCCTGCGAAGCAATAGTGGCTCCATACCGTATGAACGGAACCACGCGAAGACTAGAGACCGAGACCTAACCAGACAGAACAGAACGGATATGAACNACATTATGTCAGGAATGGAAAAAATGACCTTATTTCTTGACGAAGGGAGACAAATCGAAGACATGCTGCGAAACGCTTTTATTAACAATCGCCTTTTCCTTGCTTTATTGTTTTATCCTTTAGCCCTTATCCTTAGGGGGCCTGAACCACTTTCTTAATCTTCCTTTGGTTTTCTTCTTTTGCGAGGGCTCAGCTTAGTTCACCACCCGGATGGAACACACGCTTCGCTTCGAGTCTCGGTCAGCTCGGTGAGCTTTCCCGTTTTTCCGAGCCTTCGGTGAGTCTGCTCACTCGGCCGACTTTGACAGACAAGTCTTCTTTTCGCTTCGCTTCGCTTCGGGGCGTCGGCGAACGGAGGACGTCGAACAGAACGGAGGAAGAAGACCGGAACGGAGTGAACGGACCTTCCGTAAGAGGCACGCGGAAGACAAGGGTTGTCCGACCCATAGAGCATATGTACAAAAATATATCCCTCGTGGTATCCTCGAGATTGAGAAAGACCATAATGCCCGTAATTTGGTTCGCGAACANCAAGGCCCTATGGTGGCCGCAAGGGGACCGGTTTGTCTTAGAAGTCAAGGAAGAAGAAGTAGGAAAAGAGATCTAAAAAGAAGGGATTATTAAATGTCTGAAAGAAGATCAAAAAAGTGGTCTAACAAAGACCGCGAAGAAGGAAGAACAATGCAATCTTTAGAAGCGAAGTGTGCGAACGAAGGAACGGGGGAAGTAATACGAAGGAATGAGGGAATAAGGCCATGAGCTGGTGAAATAGGCTACTGTCCTAGCAATGAATGGAAGAAAAGCGAAGGAAAGTGAAAAGGAAGCAACTAGTGAAGGGGTATGCGGTGCTTTTGGTGTACCGTCCCTTCTGTCTAACTACTAACGAACCAGCCTATATATATACAAAGCGAGCGAACAAGCCAACAGCAGTAAGAGCGAAAGCCAGTCGGTTAGCAAGGCACTTGTTGTGAGCTAAGTCTCAGTCTTCTGGTATGGATTGTATCCCGTATGGAGACAGCGTCGGTCGAAGTATAGCTATCTCCTCTGAAAAGAACGTGCCAGCCCGAAAATCAACGGGATTACCGGACTTCTGTTCATTAGCTACCTACTTCGCCAATACTTCTGACTGAAAGGATTAGACAATGTCGCCAGTTCACAAACCGGCTTTCCTCAGGCGTTGACTGTGGCGAGGCTAGGCCTCTCTCAAGAGAATCCGTTTTCCCGAATCAATGCGCGAATTTCCTTTCCATTCCAATTCCCAGAAAAGGTACAAGTAATCCCCCTACCGAACTATGTAATTACGGTCTTTGTTCCGGATGGCGCACATCAGAAAAAGACGACGGCAAGCCATGGAAGGCGTTGGGGACCAAGATATCGTCTCGTTAACTCTTCTCAATGTAATCGACGACTCCGACTTGCAAACTTGTCATTGAGTTCTGATGGTAGAACCGGGCGGAAGAAAAGCATGAAAGCAGATTCAATAGAAGGCGGTACTTACTGTGCTGCTAAGGGTAAATCACCTGAATCAGGGCTAGAGGTCTCAGATTGATCATGCTCCTCAGAAGTAGCGATCAAAGCCGTGGATGTAGTGAAATCAGTCTTCCCATGCAACTCATATTAAAGGATAAGCGGTTGAGCTACCTTTCCTTCACTTCGCTTCGCCAATACTTCTGACTTCACATAGCTTCTAAAGTTGGCTCGACTAAAAGGAGAGGAAAGAAGTCTGGTTTTCTTTTTCATGTTGGGGCTTCTTTGACTTCACTGCGCTTCGCTTCGCTTCGTTTGTATGGTCGAGACCTCGTCAATTACATCGAACCTCGATTGTTCCGGCTCCTAATAGAATCTTGCAAGCAGAGTAGGCAGCTGATGCAGCAACAGGGGAGTAGAATACGGTTCTCTTATAAGAGAACTGGATTCTATAGGGGCCGGCAACTTTCTCTCGCCTTGCCAAAAGGATTCACTCTTTGATAGAACGAGGTAAGGGGAGTGATCGGACCGGGGCTAGAAAATTTGCATGCGAAAAGAAGCAAGAGCAGGAAAAGGGGCTGATGGCTATCAAGATAGATTTGGAGAAAGCGCTTTGAATCACCGGGAGCTCGCTTGTTCTTTCGGACTAGCAGTCTTTCCCTCCATCGCCATTGGACTCATAAAGATGAAAGGGAAAGAATGAGTTCTTTTTCCTCACTGGCTCGTAAGTAAGAAAAGACAAGAAAGAGCTAGAACATTTTACTGAGTGAAGTTCTGCCGCTAAGACTAAGAGTGATTATGAAAGCTTTCCCCTGACTGAACCCAACGAAGCGAAGCGAAGTGAGACTCAAAGAACGAAGCGAAGACTGAGCGAGCTTCTCTTAGCACTGAGGACTGAAGTTACGGAACAAACCGAAGCTTTAGCTACAACTGTAGCGCGCGCTTTAGCTGCATTAGCTGCATTTCAAAGCTTTTAGTGCTTAGCTACACTCTTTTCCTTCACTGCGCTTCGCTTCGTTCGTTCGTACACTTCGCTTCGCTTCGTTCTCCAAGTCTCACTTTGCTCTCCTATGCCTCCTTAGATTCAATGGTTGAATCTAATAACACATACTCGAAAGAGAAGAATAGGATCTGAATGAAATCAGTCACCGTCGACGGTCGAGAGACAGAGCAACTAAATCTCGAACCGATAGAAAGGAAAGTCGAAGCTAAAAGGTATTGCTTTCAAGCCTTTTAAGTCAAGTGTAAGGATCGATGTAATTGAGAAAAGACCCAGCGCAAAGGTAAATGCTCTTTGATAAGATGGATCTGTTTAATACGAATAAGCTGTTCTTCCATTCCCACGTAAGTTCGGCTTTGATATCTTTTGATCTTTGACTTTCCTTTGTGCTAATCTTGGCCGGAGCCATTTTTTGGGCGGATTCCCCATAACGAATAGGCTAGGGGGAAGGAACGAACGAAGCGAAGTAAAGTCATAAAACTGGTCGAGTGAAGGTGTAATTGACCTAAGGAAGAGAGTTTTTCAAAAGATGAAGATCTAGAAAGCCATAGAGCTAGAGCTTGTTGAGAAAGTAGCTTTAAAGATGGGGCACCCTTTCCCTATGGGAAGTAGGGAAGTTTCAAGCGATAGCAAAGGCCAATGGTGATAAATACGGAACCCCAAGCATGAACACTTAGACATAATGGAAAGCTTGTTAGGAAAGTTCAACTGGAATAGCAGGTGATGGCCCTTAGGCCGAAAAAACAAAAAGAGTCAAAACTTCTATGACTTCACTTCGCTTCGCTTCTTTCCTCTATGACTTCACTTCTAAAGATTACATTGACCTCTCCTTTTAGTCTCGCATCTGAAAACCTCTCCCGCTTATTTCTTCTTCCGATGGTCGCCTTTACTTAGGGCATTATTATGCGTTTCCCTAAGTAAAGGAACTGCTACTAGAGTTGCAAATGAAAGTCTTTCAACTGTTGAAGTGAAATTGCCTGTACTTTAGTCTCCCTCAACTGCTACTACAGAAGATGGAATGGTTAATTCTCTTATTCCTGTGGTTTAATATGTGACTTTATTAATGCTTGAAGCTACATTCACTGCTCTAATACAGCTACTAAAGAAGAAGCTAACAACGCATAATAATTTATTAGCAGTGGCTACGTCCATTACTGAATAAGGAATGGTCAGCGCGGGAACCCTAATTCTCTTCAGAGTGAGTATCTTCAAGAACATCCATTCGAGTCGCAGATTCAACTGAGATTAGGTCCCCTCCTCGTTCTTGGGCTGACTATTCCTCTGAAATGTCCGAAGCAGCTTGCGTCTATTCTCTTCAATCACTCGTTTGGGCGTGCCATGCCAACCTATAGAACCCAAAGGAACTACGATGGATAACTACCGAGGGTCGATGTAATTGAGGTCGAGAGTGCTGATCTGTTTCAGAGTACGGGAAAGAGTACCTAAAGGGAGCTAACACCCCATCCACTCGATCGGGAACCCGGTATTCGACCCAACGCTTCTGGAACTGCTCCTTCGACCTTCTCTACTCTTGCCTTGAGGAAGTGGTTGAGTCTAGTCCTTATTTAGAAGTTGAAGAAGTGCTCTATAGAGTTCAGCCTTCCTTGCCGCCTAGAATAGAAGAAGAGCTCACTTTGCATGAATACTTTCTCATGCATGTAAGCAAGTGTAGTAGAATAGAAGTTAGATGTAGCAATGATTGACCTTTTCACTGACTACTCGATTTAGGAGCAAAGGGATTGTCTATTCTATTCGGGTAGTTGAGAAAGCGACTTCAACTCCTAACCTGCCAGGCGAAAATCTCTGATAATGCTCGTTGGGAATCAAAGATGCAGACGCTAACGGCCAGTCATCTCTATCTCGAGAAAGAAGCTAATAACTAAGAAGCGCTAGAGCAATAAATAGCATAAGAGAATCCATGAAAGCAATTCCCCCAGAAAGGGTAGTAGTGACCCGCAGGTCATAAGCTGGTAACCAGTGGAAGAGCAAGAACTGAAGGCTTACGAACTACTTCAGTGAACCTAAAGCACCAGCAAAGGAAATTATCAAGTTCTTCCCAACGAACGAAGCGAAGTAAAGTCATAGAAGTAAGAAGTCAGGCTGACGGGCAAATAAGTCCCCGGTTAAAAGCTGCAAAACAGGCCTTTTCATGCCCGACGAACGAACGAAAGCTTCTTCTGATTGAGTGAACATACCTAGCACTTAAAAGTAGGGCATTGGATGGGACAAGCCGCTTCTTCCTTTAAGCCGAGAGGGGTCGTCGCTAAGCCTTTTTGGCCGCTCCTTTCTTTAGCAAGGATGAAACTTCCAATGTCACCGAGACCAACAGAAAGAAATGCGCCTCCCACTTCGCCAGACTACCTACAGACAGACTGTCGCACCTACCGATCTCGTAACCCAGACAGATATCTTACCTACGCCTCCGCTAAAGGAACAATAGAACAATCGGGTAGCTACAAAGCTATACGTTCCAAACAACTAAAATATTAGTTATGCTGGGCAGTTGGCTTGGTTCCCCTGTCGGGGGGTCTTGCCGGGGGAGCTGATAGAGGTAAAACAATGGGGATAGACGGGATCGCAGATAACCGGTTCCCCTTGCGGGGGCGAAGGCCGTAGGAGAGAAAAAAAAAGGTATTCAAAAATTATCTGATCGATGCTGTTTGGTTATATGATGATCGAAGGGAAAGCCTTGAATGCAAGAGATCCTATCCAGCCAGTCCAGTACCTGTAGCGAACCGAGCCAGAAGGTGATTGCAGCGAGCATAACAAAGATTTTAGGACCAGTGGATACCCGACTCGAAGACAAGGGGAGTAAGGAAGGAAGCTAAAGCAAGCCTAGCCCTGAAAGCGAGAGCCCGAGTCTGAAGTAGGACAGGAAGAACCGGCTTTCGTTACAGGAGAAAAGAAAGAATTGTAAGTGGGAAAGCGCGAAGCGAGGAAGCAAGCTAAACTCTTTTGGCTCCCTCTTCTGTATAAAGAAAGCCAACAAGCCTATTTATTATATTATTATAGAAAAGGGAGGTGACAAAGTTGGCTCGACTAAAAGGAGAGGAGAGCTTGGAGCTTTATTCCAAAAGAATGCAAGTGACGAGCATCAAGGCCTTTGGAACTGATTCATACCGATCTTTGTAGACCCATGGCAGTTACCTTACCTGCATTCGGCGAGGAGCAAACAACAAAGAGAAGGAAAAGAAGTCATTGTCTTTCAAGGGAGTCTGACAACTTCCTACGGGAGGCTCAATGTAATTGACCACATCCCAGTTCCTTAGAGCTCTCTTCAGTCTAATCGGAAGACGCAATTCCAGGAGAGCAAAGTGAGTCTCGACTCTTTCTATGACTTCACTGCGCTTCGCTTCGTTCGTACACTTCGCTTCGAAAAGTTTGTTCCCTACTTTGTCACCTGAAGTAGCTCTTTTCTGAACTAGACTGCGTTGACACATAGCTATGCATCTATCTTAGGGGACCTCTATTCTGACTTTCCGTTGACTAAAATGCAAAAGCTGAAAAGTTCATCCATGGCTTCACTTCGCTCTGCTTCGTTCGTTCCCTTCTTTCTCTCAATCTTTCCGGGACGCTCTATCCGACTTGGTGCTTTCCTTTATATATATATATAAGGGATCGAGATCTAGCATTTCAACCAAAAGTCCTTTAACCTTTGGTCAAGGGTTTGATAAACCACCGACTTGCCCAGTACTTTCACGATCAGTGCTCTGCACCATGGTTTCAAAAGAGCTTGCCTGGTATGTCCTTTTAGAGAACTCCAGTTATATTCCTGGTCTTTTTTCCTGGAATTCCATACCAGTGGAAAGACAGCTTATGTTTTTTCCGGTTTGGAGCCAGCGTCGAATGACATATCTGATCTGAAGTGAAGGGAGACACCGTGGCTAGTTACCGTACTGGCATTCATACGGTCTTACTTCCACAATCACAGCCAGCCGTCTTGTCTCCAGTCGAAGCTAGCTCTACAACCTCTGGTTTATCCTAAAGCGGATTAATCCACCAGCCCCCTACGGGCTGGAATTGGCACAACGGAGCTAGTCCTCCCGTGTAGTTAAGAGTTCCCAATCTATGAGCGATAGACCTCGCGGTTTGACCCTGGGACTTGGACCCTAGGAAACCAACATTCCATCCCTTGTCGGGACCCGAGAGACTCCTAACAACAAAGAGGTCGCACTGAAGGAAATGCACCCCCCACATCCAGGCACCCTTTAGAGGAAAAAGGATAGCAAAGGTGGGAAAAAGACTGGGGTGACTGAAGCACCTCCCTGAGAAACGGCCACTCGACCCTATCATACTATAGCAACAATGAGAGTCGAGATCACCTGAAGTTTAGTCAAGCAAGGTTCGACGATACAAACGAAGCGAAGCGAAGTTCAGTCATAAAAGATTTGACTTCATTTCGCTTCGTTCGTTGGGGTGAACTAAAGAAATTCTTTCAGCTCCAGGACCAACTTCTCAATGAAAGAGCTCTTTTCGGCATAAGAAAGAACCAGAAACCAGAGCCTCGAAAAGGGGCTTTTACTCCGGGCGTGGGAAACTCACCTGTGAAGCTGGTCTTTAGTGGTGAGTCGTCCTAAAACCGACGAGTCTGCAATAGATTGGATTTTGAGGAAACCTAGGTAAAAAGGTTACTGGGAAACTAAGCTAATAGAATAGGGTTTTTTCGATCAATGCCTTAAACTACAGCTTCTTCAACGCTTCTCCTGCGACTGCCTTAGCAGCAGCAGACAGTCTCACTCACTCTGAATCTTCAATGACCCGGACCCAACGAACGAAGCGAAGTGAAGTCATAGACATTTTGACTTGTTTTTTTATCTATATCCGGAGAGGTCTTTGTTAAATGAAAGTTGTATGCGACCTATGTCAGTCTTTCTCCTGCGTCTCGAAGAAGCAGTTTTCGCAATTTACTCAGCTGCTCTTTATTCCACAGTCCGTACCTATTGAAGCTTGAGCCTGCATTGCAGGAATATAGGGTTTCCCTCATTCCATGCGAAAACAAGGGTTGTGGGTAAGATGGCAAAAGCAAGAATGTAGTTTTTCCAGCCTTGATTTTAACAGCAGCAAATCCTTTCAGTCGAGTGGGTCCGCTCCTTCCTCTTCCCAGGANGGAATGGAAAGATCGGATTCGTACCATCCTGTTAAACAGTCGAGTTGCGGGAAAGAGATAGCATTCGCCGCGTTCAAGCTAGTTTCACTCCTGGCTTATTCTTGTTATACCGTTCGTGGCATCGAGAAAGACATGCTTTAGGCTACTGACTTGGGTTTCCAAACAGCAACCGACTCTTTCCAGCACTCATCCTAGTGCAAATTCTTGTAGTGCTTGACTCAGTCTTCTCCCTTACGTGATAGGGCTCTAAAGCCAAGTGCTTTCTTCAGTTACTACCCAACGACTTCGTTTTTTGCCCGAGTCCAGTGGCAATGAGGAAAGTGGTTGTAGCTCGCCAGTCACCCTAGCTTAAAGTTTCAATGCTAAAGCTGATAGAGATCTTTCTGAAGAAAGATAGAGCTTGAAAGGCACAGCTGATTCTCTTTCTTGTGATTCTGAAACTCTATCTCCTCACTCAAGAGGAAGTACTTTAGGGAATAGACTTGCTAAAAGAGATGGTACAGCTGCTTTGACTCTGTCTTCCTTAACGAACTCTATGACTTCACTTCTAAAGATTACATTGACCTAGGCCAACAATCTATCTTTCGTAAATAAGCACTTGCATTTACATTGCGAGATCCGCCAAGCGTTGCTCAATCACAACCCAAGGGCTCCAACAAAGCACAAAGCAAAGGGGTTCACTGAACGCAAACCAAATGACGCGAGTACTCAACACCCACGGAGCGGTAAACGAAAGCCCAACAAAAGGGTTTTAGAAAGCACAACATGTTGTTGTTCTGCACAACGATCAAAATACAGTTTTGAATCCATGGAATTTGCTTTGATCCAAAGCTGCAAAGGATCATTTAAGAAGCTTGAGGGCGAAAACCAGGAACATTTCGCCAAACAAACAAAGGGGCAGCGCCTAAAAACATGATCAACAGACTCATCGAGATCTTGACACAAGCTGCATCTGATGTTCATAGTCAGACCCAACAAACTTTTCGAAGCGCAGATTTGACTTCATTTCGCTTCGCTTCATTCGTTGGGTCGACAAAGTTGAGGGAGCGCAATTCGATTTCTGGTCTTATATGTCGACGACATATTACTCATTGGAAATGATATCCCTACCTTGCGTCAAGTCTTGGTTAGGGAAATCTTTCTCAATGAAAGACAAGCGTTCCGCTTCCTATATCCTTGGGATAAAGATCTATAGAGATAGATCTAAAAGGCTAATTGGCATAAGTGTCAAAGTGCTTACATAGACAAAGTACTGAAGAGGTTCAGTATGGAAGATTCCAAGGCTCGATGTAATTGACCTATGTCTCATGGCATCATTCTCAGCAAGACTCAGTGTCCTAACACTAAAGATGAGCGGGACCGCATGAGTAAGATTCCTTATGCTTCAGCAATAGGATCTATCATGTATGCCATGTTATGCACTAGACCAGATGTATCTTATGCTTTAAGCATAACGAGTAGATACCAGTTAGATCCCGGTGAGAGTCACTGTACAGCTGTCAAGAACTTAAGTATCTGAGAAGAACTAAAGATCGACTATTGTATGGTGGATTGGAAGATGATTTTCGATCACAGTCAGGATATGTGTTTTGTTTGAATGGTGGTGCTGTCAGCTGGAAAAGTTTGAAGCAAAGCCCCATCTATAGAGAAAAGAATCCCCACAGCTGATTCTGTAACTGAAGCTGAATACATAGCAGCATCTGACTAAAGAAGCAGTTTGGATCAAAAAGTTCATCACTGATCTTAGAGTGGTTCCTAGCATCACAAATCCTGTTGATGTTTATTGTGACAATAATGGTGCTATTGCACAAGCAAAGGAAGGACTTAGTACACTAACAACATGCCCGCCTTTATAGCCTCATCCAATAAACCCCCTAGCATTTGTGATCTTTCGGGTTTTTACCGATTCGTTTACTTGGACATAATTAGGGAAGCCTTTCCTGGTGTTTGAGTTAGGGTTCTGTCTTCGCTTGCTTGTAAATTCTTGGTGGTAGTAGTCAGTCCGTCAATTCCGATCACTTCCAATGACATGCATTTCCTATTTCTTTGTCCCCTGGACCTATTCTGAAACATTCAAAAGCTCACGTAGAGCTTCCCATGCTTCTTTCGGCGAAGCCTACTCCTTCTTGAGCTTTCCGCTCCCACACGAGAGGTAATGGTATCTATCCCTGCCTCAAGGTCAATTACATCGAGCCTGGGGAGAAGCCTTCTCAATTCTTTCAACATAATATTAGAATGTCGGAGCGTAGACCACTCGACTCCCCCTTTGAAAGAATTTAGAAAAGAATGCCTCTTGTTCTCTTTTTCTATGAATTCAATGGTACGAAGCTAATTCTAAGCCTTTAGCTTATTTCTTGTCATGGGCACTTGGCTTCTTTTCTTTAGTCTTTCCCGTTTCACCATTCCCGGGTCCAGTAAAATCCCTTGACTTTCGTTACCGGTCTTCAACATCAACTTTCGAATTACCTTTAGGTGCGTTAGCGGCTCTCTTTGAGTTCAAATCTTTTCAGTGGTGAGTTTGACCGTGTGACTATGCTTTCTGTGGTCTTGTTCAAATAGAAGAGGTCCCTTTGGGTGCTATCACATAGCCCTAAGCATGGCAAGTCAGGTCTCTAATCGACAACAAAGAGATATGCCAATTAGCGGCACACTGACTAGTAACCTCTTTTCGTTAAATCATATAGTAAGAAAGAAGTCTTATCTTATTTAAGATTCCCCAATCTCTAAGGCTTTAGGGGCGTAAAGATCCTAAGTCTTATCAGGTCGATCAAAGAAAAGGCTCGATGTAATTGACCTAGTCCTTTTCTCTTATGGAGAGCAAGGGCGGGTAAAGTTCTTCAATACCCGTCGTTCTCTCGCTAAAGGAACCCTTTGATTAAAGGGAAGAAAAGAAAGTCAAGACAAGCTTCATCTTCCCCTTCTCTTTCACTCAACACTTTCATTATCATATAGAAAGTTCAAATCGATTCACACTTTCCTATCTTTCCTTTCGCCAGCGAACCTAAGTTAGAGACAAGCGGGTCAAAGAATTCCCTTTCGAGAACACCGAAACGAGAGTCACTCGCTCCCTTTGCTCTTTACCTCTTTGTTGTACGCCTGGACCTGGTGGGGCTGGGGAACCCCCTGAGCTAACACCACTTGGAAACACTATTTCAAGCCAGCCAGTCACACTCGTTACCTGAACGCTGCTTAACAACTGACGCAAAAGAAGCTGCTTTCTTGGCGACATTTCTTCGATACTCGCCAATGGTTCCCAGGAATTGCTATTCATTTTCTTCTTCGTGGCCCCAAGACCATCATAATATGGTTCAAAGGAAGAAGAGTCAAGAGTCTGACTCGGCCAGTGAGTTCCCGAAAAAGGGTGTCCAAGCCAAGGGAGGACATACAAAGTAACCAACATCAAGGGTAGCGCTAGTGCTCGTCGGAAATGTGTAACAAGTCTCGATTACGACGGTTCCATACTAGACTCTAACAGAGCAGAGTTTTCTACTTCTTAATATAGAAAGGAAAGGTCAATTATATCGAGCCTGTGCTTAAGTTGTTGCTACCGTTGGAGCACCTCACTTCAAAGAAGGACAACGGTTTTTATTTTAAAGTCAAGTGGTGATCGATGGGCATTTGTTGAGTAACAATAGGCCGATGGCGGCACCGATAAGAGCAGGTTTCCCGACCCGAGCCGAGCTGTGGCAGACAAAGGAAAAGCATTAACGACCGACCCGCAACACCCAACCGAAAGAGGTCTCCCCCTGGTTCAGCTATCAGGCGATCAAAGAAGGAGTTTTCGTATGTCGTATTTTGCTTTCTGGTTTGTCATTTGTATGAATCATATTGCTTGGTCGTGTAGATCATATGAATTTGACGGGACAATGATGGGCATTTTCAAAGCCGAGAGGACCCATACGTGGTTTCTGGGTCAAAGCGGTACAGGATAGACTCGCTCCATGAGGTCGACGGTGTGCCGCGGGTGGTGGGCTTAGAGCCGTTGAGTAAAGCTATGCTGGCCTTCCGCTATGCTCTTCAATAACCGGGCGCCGCGAGATTCTCACGCGCTCGGGCTCGAATGTCTTGCACCTGGCTCCGGACTAAAGCGAGTCGACTCTCTTGATCTCTGGCACTGGCCACTAGGTGTCATCGACCGAAAAACTTCCTAGTGCATCCTGCGTTGACTTCTACTTTACTCATCAAGAGTGTGATCCGGCGGAAAAATAGAAGTCGTCCGTATCAAGTGATACGTGAATTGCTCAGTAGTGCTTCGCTGCTTGATGTTGCCCCGCTGGCGGAAATAGCTTAATGGTAGAGCATAGCCTTGCCAAGGCTGAGGTTGAGGGTTCAAGTCCCTCCTTCCGCTCTTGGCTTCGTCGTTTAGTGATAACGAGTGGAGTAGGCAGCGAGTAGAGTGCATAAGCCCCTTTCCTTTAGAGATAGGGGCGAGCAGCAAGCAGCCCCTTGTTTGTATAGGGGTCAAACCCTTCACTTTCTTTCTTAAAAAGGGGAAAGCCAGCAACCTACTCCTAAAAGGTTGACTAAGCCGTTGCGCGCTAGCCTTTTCCCTTACTAGTAAAGGGACTGCTAGTTGTAGCGCGCAGTGTACTAGTGAATAGGAAAAGCTAATTTATCTTACTAATGACGGATGGAGGTTGAGGCAATGAAATTGTTCGGTGCCTCGCCCTTGTCTCCTTCGCCGTAGACTGCAAATGATGGGAATTCTATCGATAAAGAAGAGGCATAGGCATCGCCTCTCGATCCAATCCGTCTTCCCTGGCCTCCCCAACACACTGAAGATACGAAAAAAACCTCCCACCATAACCATAGAGAAGAGATAGAAAGTCTGGGTCCCCTCGATCACCCTTTCCTTTGAACCTAAACAACTCAGTTGAGAGCTCCGTGACCGTTCAAGGGAAGGTCCACCAATGATTGATAGGCCATTCCCCCCCCTATCCGTCTCTTGATCCCTCATTCCACTAATCCGTTGTTACTGATTCATTCAAGGCATAGACTCCCCACTTCTTTGTCTTATTAGCGCAGGTCTTCGTCAACGATGAAAGCCGCTGAACTTAAGACTCTTTTTGAGAAAGAGGGCTAGGCCCAGGGGAGGAGGGCTCTCAGGGACTGGGGAAGACGGGTGGATTATAGAACTAAGGGCGGATCGAAGGTTTTTCCATTGGGATTGGACATGGACGAGCCTCGACTGGGCCAGCATTGATGAAAAAATGAAATGAATAAAAGAATAAAAAAAAACTTCTCCCATCGCGTCATTAACCGGTGTAGGATTAAAGATCAGGTCCAGGATTCGAGTCAAATCGACCTTCCCTCTCATCTCGCAAGGAATTCAATCAAATGTTTGTTGTTCAATATCTCGGCTGCTCAAGAAGTTGG